CGGTTTGGAGGTCAGACCAAACGACTGACAGACCGACCGACTGAATAGCTAAGTCCCCTCAGTCATCAAAGGTAAGTTTTAACCTAATTTGTTACATTTTATATTGTTTATATATGAAATATTTTATAATTTTGACTGGCTTTAATGGGAATATGAAAATATATTGCCCAAATATAATCATATTGGCCGGGTCGAAGACGAGGGCAATATGGTTATGTTGAGGGCAATATTGTCTCATATCAACCAAAATGTGAGCCAGTCAATGTTATTATTATCAATTATCCTCTTGTTATATTTCAAGTATCACTTATACATGTATCATGTACAAGTACCCAGATGTGAAACGTATGGTAATATGCTCTTATATTACCCGCTGCTACATCACGCGTGTCTTTATGCGATAATTGCACCATAAATAATAATGAATGATATTATACGCTTGACTAACTTTGAATATTGATCCTTATTGAGTGGTCTTTCTGAAAGTTGATATAATAAAGTTTCTTTCAATCTGGCAGACAAGTACATGCAAGTGCATTCATTGTTACTTACTGGGTTTATAACATTCATCACAAATTTGCTGATAACCTGCAGATTTTATATCTTCTTTAGATATGAACATATCAATTCAATGATTGACAACAAACCCAGTAATACATATGGAACCCTATCATATCATCTTCAGTGGTTGATAAATACTGTATAGATGTCCGCTACATTTTTTATTGAAATGGAATACAATAGTACCATACAGACCATGGAGTATGCTGTCACAATTTTTTAAACAATATACCAATCCTCCCAACCTAAAAGTGTTGAACACAGGAAAGCCATTCATATTTTTAAATAGGAGTTATACCACTCTGATTTCCTACCAGGACTTTAGTGCCACAATGTCACAAATTGCATTCTAAGTGAATAAATGGTGCAACAGTATTTATAAAACAATTGCAAATCTGCTTTTCTACTCGGTGCATGCTTCGCTTTTTTTCTGTTAAAAGTAGACCTTAAATTCATATTCTGATTTTCATTTATAGTTACTGTATATTTCAAAATATCAATTTAGGACAGAGTAAAACCACTTTTTATTTAATACCCGTTTCTAGGTTTCATTCCTGTTTTATGAAATAATATTACTATGTCCTCTCTACTTATCATTGAACAGAGTTATTGATAACGTGATTGTAACAATCTTTTGTCAATTACCTCTTAGGATGGACAAAAATACAGAAGTTATTGTTAGGTGGGATCTTGATGGAGAGATCAATTGTGGCAAGAAACGAGATCTCGATATAACGGAAGGCTTAGGGTGGGTTCAAGAGTCACTATGAGCTAGATGGATGTGGACTGGACGGGGACTGCAACGCTGACAGGAGACTCTGACTCCGAATGTGCCTCCATTTAGAGGTTTTGTGGTCTAGTGGATAAGTCGTTGGACTGTGGATCACAGGATCCATGGTTCAAGTCCCGCCACAGCAGTAATGTCTTTTGGCAAGATACTAATCTAAATTTGCCACTCTGCTGTGAGCACCGAAAGCGGCTGCCTAGCAGAGCCAGGGTAATAGTTGGAGCGCCTTGAGCATATTGTTATTATTATTTTGACAGTGACAACCTCCCTCCTTCCTCACTAAGAACAGCACAGACTAAGGTCCTCCATCATATGAAAGTTGCATGTAAGAAGTTTTAATCCCATAAACTTACAGTGTTGTATGTTTTTAGAAGGATTTGGCATGTAGGACTAATATTAATTGCTAATAGTTTATATTTCAAAGGGCAATCCAACCTCTGTAACAAGTTGATTTATGTTAAAGCAGAACAAAATGAGTGTAATAGACTGGTGAAAGTTTGAAAGAAATCAGACATAGAATAAGAAATAATGTTTGAAAAGTTAGATTACAACATCTATGTAAATCTCAGATCTGCAATTTTATGAGGCAACAGGGACGTATGCAGCTGACAACTTTGTATGTCATACACAAAAAATATAAATAATTAATGATTTTCTTTTAAGCTCCTCTTCCATTGTGGCAGTACTCAAACTATATTGTAACCCTCCCTCCCCCTAATCAGTGGCCTTGTGAATTTGCATTTCAGAATTTTCCAAGAACACCGGTACCCCCCTTCTTTATAGAGCTACCATGTTGTATTTTTTGCCATGAGTGTGGGCTACAGTTAAATAAGTTGCAATTTTGATATTCAAACATGATTCATTACACCGGAGTGTTGGCTCAGTCAGTAGAGCATCCGCCTCACAACCGGGAGGTCGTGGGTTCGAATCCCGGCCGCGTCATACCAAAAGACGTTAAAAGATGGGAGTTGTTGCTACCTTGTTTGGCGTTCAACAATAAGGGATAGAGCAACGTCGATCTGGCGCTGCTCAGTGGCTGCCGGGCTCACGATCAATTGGGCAAAAAGAATTTCTGTTTCGGTTTAATAAAATTTTGAGTGAACTATTAGGCTATTATTATTATTATTATTATTATTATTATGATTTATCAATTTTTAATGATTGTACATGTAATTGTGAAATGAACTGTACAAAAACGATTCCAGTTACTGTATATTGCAAAGAAATAAATGCAGTCATAATCAAGACGAAAGTATTAATCTTAAGATTTGATTGCTTTGTGCTATTCAACGTTTATTCTTATTTAGTTAGATTTGTTTATAGGAGAAATGTGTCTGAGAGAGTAATGTACTAAAATGATAATGACTTATGTGACAACAAAGAGGGGTAATAAACGACAAAAAGAGAGATAAAGAGAGAGAGAAAGAAAGAGAAGGAGGGGGATGTTCTTGTTTGCATGAGAGAGCTAGAGAGGAGAGAGAGAGAGAGAGAGAGAGAGAGAGAAAGAAAGAATTGAGAAGAAGTTGTACATAGTGCTTGGTGTGCCCCCCCCCCCCCAACAAAAAGTATACAAATATGCTATTGATCATTGACAAAAATATTTAATTAAACTTAAATCACATATGAAGCAGGACAGTATATACAATTTCCATAACAGGCATTCAGAGTCACTAACAAATTATTGCATTTCCTGCATTATGTGAAGGATTCAGGATGAATTTCTGGATGGGGCAGAGTGATGCGAGTCTAACATTGAATATAGTGCTGTGATTTCGAGGAAACAGAATCAGCTAGGTATGACAAATATAGTTTTATGGGTGGGGGGGGGGGGGGGGGGGGGGTACGCAAATGGGCATTGCTTTGCACAGCGCGCACGTCAACTGGGACGGTTCGTAAAAACGAAATTTCACATAACCAACAGGGGAAACGGGGCCGCGTAAGCTGCGGGGCCACTACGTGAAGACGAGCCTAAGCGTGGATGTCAAGTTTTTCGTTTTCACGAACCGTCCTCTGACTGTCCTCTGTGATTGAGGTCTAATTATTGTTTAAATAAACATTATTTCCACGTAAAACTTATATCATTTCATTCTGTAGATAGTGTACTATCAAGATATCAAAAAAAATGAACACCATCACATAGTTTTTCCCCGTGAAAACAGCGATTGTAAAAAAGTGAAACTTTAAACGCGTTTATCTCAAAATTTGTTTCTGTACGCTAAAACGCTCTTGGGACACTTCGTGAAAACGGTGACGATATATATATAAGGTTATCCATCTTTCTTTATAATCAAATATTTCCTACTGTATTTGAAATTGTTATTGTTGTTTTCGATAGCTATCCGTTTGGTTGCACTTCAATATCAGCTATTGAAGTGCAATTAAACGGATAAGTGATGGAGACTGCGGATCGGGAGCTAGCGGATGGGAGGGGGGGGGGGGGGGAAGCTGACGGGAAATATTATGAGACATTTTAATTCATGATGCATGTTAATTGTAGACAATATGAAATTGAGGGGCACATGCACATTATAAATAATTATCAATATTTATGTACATCGTTTTCTATTGTTAAATGTTATATTGTATTTTCTATAATTTTATATTATCACTGTAAAAAAAGCCATTGGAAGCCAAATTTCTATATAATGTTTGCATGCATGGACCAATATAATAATAAATCTTGAAAAGAGCATTCATGAACAAAAAAGTATTTTTTTGACCCCCTCATTCCAACCCCAGGCCCTACCAGAAACACGATGAAATGTAACATCCCAATGTTTATGATTTTACTAGCATTGATTCGTTAGTCATCAGTTTGATTTGTGAGTGTCTTTTATACCAAGGAATAATATTTGTGTATTGTGTTTTTTTAAGCTGATTCCCATGGTAATGCAATCTACCTGAATGAAAGAGAATTTTCGATTCAAAGTAATCAAAATGTCATTAAAGAAGCTCTCAGGTAAGTGTACATGCTTGTATATAATAAATAAAATGAGATTTTCATGTATATCCATCCAAAATGGACAGTATGATGATGTATCGTGATGATTGATATATCATGGAAAGAATGGATCAATTATAACTAAAAATAAAACCAACAACAACAAAACGATGAGCCATTCTGGTCTCAATGCTTGCAAGGAAGAAATTTAGTAAACGCCCCTTTCAGTGTAAATCAAAAATAAGGGGCCCACGCACTGCAAGCTGTAACATGAAACGTTTTCAAGCATACATGTCATATTTATATTAAGCATTTGGAGATGGAATAATCGTTCAATCGAAGGTAATCCATCACAGTGCAGAGCGGGAAACAATGGATTTTTCCAATACCCTTGATAAGTGTTAAAGGTATAGACCTGTTTTGGAAATGCCCCCTCTCAAAAAATGAAATAGAAGCTCTTATTACCAATGAAAGATCACCATCATTTTACCACTACCGGTCTTTACCTTTAAGTTTGTTTTTCCCTGTCCTTAAAAAAAGAGATTGGGGGGGGGGGGGGGGTGGAGCGGTCAGACTGCCCCTTTTTCTCAACCCCTACTTCGATACCGTTGTGACGGCAGGGTTATAATTCATATACTTCACTAATTGGGACAAACTTACATAAATACACAAATAGCACAATAAAAATAAAATACAATTTAATTTTGTATAGACATGATCAATATTTATATTTATTTGATACAGAATATATACCACAAAATAATCATATATACAAGTACTTCTCAACATTATAATATATAACTGTCTTCAATGAAATAAATGTACAAGCATATAATTTGGCTACACATAGTTGTATCTCTATTGGAAAATGTTACACACGTGTACTGCTTCAGCATTTCGACATGACTGACATGATAAACGAAGGAAGGTCAACAATGTGGTTGGGTATGACTTGACTATTAAACTGCCCATAAACAAATTACTGACTCGCACAATATTTTTAAACCTCACATAATGTCAACAGTATTAAACATACAGTTTATCATAACGAATGAAATAACATCCATATACATTAAACCTGATGAATACTTGGCCAGAGATAACTAGGGCTGGAATCTACAACAAATATGTCAGACCATACATATGTTCTACTCTCTTTACATGTTTTGTAGAACTATGTTTTCATTTTTTGTTGTTTAATACTAAAATCAGCATTAAACCTTTAAAAAAAAAAATGCACAGACTTATAGTTGATTGCAATGTCACTACTTGGTTCACAAGCATTGATAACATATTTGGGTAAATCCATTGGTTCTAAAAACTGAAGCAAACTATAACTTGAGAATAATAACATCTATCATAGCATGTATCTAACCATCAACAACGTATAAACTTCGGAAGCATTCATAATGAAGCCATAAGTTGGATTGACTTCTAAGAAAACTCTGATAATATATACTTTCAATCACAATGACACAGAATGCTTTTTTCTAGGTTATCATTAGATGTCTTAAGTAACTATCGCCATACAAAAAGTCCACACATAATGTGGATGACTTACAAGTACACATTAAACAAACAAATCTTACAACGGAGAGTAAGTGAGTAAAGGAAAATTGAGAGTCAATCACCCCCCAAAAAAATATATAAACAAAATAAAATAAAATTGTTACAATAAACTATGCATATTTCAATCTTAGAAGACCAGATCCATTGCTACTCTGCCCATAAAATAATGTTTACAAAACAGATTTATTATTGCACAAGAAATGCAACATTGCCCTAAAAGCAAGTGCTCACAAAAATTGAAGTGTAAATGAGAAATGATTACATTGCAATGCACAGTTGCCCACGATCAATCAAATGCTAGAGCAAAGTGAGTAACTAAAGCCCTCCCTCAACTAAGTTCACATTAAACATATAATCATATTTCTATAAATATATTAAGTCAACACTATTACATGAACATGATACAAGCAGTATTATAAGCATTTGCAAAATAGATTATTAAGCACATTAGCACCAATCAAGTCACAGACAATATTTTAGTCATCATCTCAGTCACATAAAACTCAAGCTTTTCATATGGAATCAATAAAACAGAATGTCTTAAAGATAAACAAGCTTACTGCTACCTTTTTGTCTCCTAGATATTTGTGTCATAACCTATGACCCGAGTAGTCACCTGGGGCCCATTTCACAAAGCTTTTTTTCAGTGACAAATGACAAAAATCAGTGACAAATATGTTGATAACCAATCAGAAGGAAGGATTTCAGTAGCTTATAAAACAAACTGTCATTTGTCACTGATGACAAGCTTTGTAACATGGGTCCCTGGTCAGAGTTCCATTCATTCATATTGTACATGTATGTGTATGCAACTTCCTATTAATGTACTGAAGATAAAGATCCAATTTAACTATCCCACCCTAAAATGATGATACGAAAACAACAATCATTTCAAAAATTGTCTTCCAATAGGTGGCAGTGAAGCATCCATTGCTTAACATGGAATTATAAAAAGCCCTACTCTCACAGGATCTCACAAAGTACATACAATATCAATACATGCATTAACAATGATTATCATTTCAATGTAAGTTGACTTTTTGGAATATGGAATGTATCACAGTATCATTATTCGGCTTTTACCATAGTACTGGTAGTCCAGAGCAAGCACAAAGACAATCAAAGAGAAACATAATAATTAAAAAAAAATAAAAAAAAAGCTATTGCTATTACATGTAACTGTCATTCTTCAAAAATAACCACTGCAGAAGCATTGGTCCCTTTACAATTGAGACAGCTGTTCACACCTGATTCTAGAAACGCCCAATATAATTGATTGATAATATAACAATGAAAAAATTTGTCCAAGGTCAGCCCTTTCACACATCACCCTGTGAGCTAGCAGTGGTCTACATGTACATGTACATTTATGTATGTATTGGCACACAAATAAGGACCTATTCATATGTGAAAGCAACCATTGAAGTTAACTTTGATGCCATTCCTAAAATAACCTTGTGTGCTGGGAACCAGTGAACATATAAAAGCTTTACACCTTGGGGCTGTGTCTCAAAACCGTCATAAATCTAACTTTTTAGGCATCCTGTTGAAACGTGTTGTGTTATAGAATTAACACAGGTTTCTATGGGATATCCATGAACTTAGACTTATGACGGGTTCGAGAAACTGGCCCCTGATTCTAGTCAACTTGAATACCATTCTTTACATATCTTAAACTTCGAACTTGACAGTGGTCCTTTCATATTTAAAAAATTACCTGTCAAATTTCATGATAAGTATTCAATGGCCATCACTGTGAAGTCATAGATGATAGAACCCTGTTTACATTGGAAATTTTATGTGATGTTTCATGTGAACCATTCAATGGCCGTCACTGTCATGTCATGTCATATATGACATGGTCCTATATGTTTAAACATTTGATAGTTAACCTGATGAATATTCATAAGTATTCAATGGCTATCACTTTTATGTCATATATGAGAGAAACCTGTTCACATTTGAAAGTGTATGTGGTTAAAAGTTTCATGTGAACCATTCAATGGCTATCACTGTCATGTCATAGATGACAGAAACCTGTTCACATTTGAAAGTGTACGTGATTAAAAGTTTCATGCGAACCATTCAATGGCTATCACTGTCATGCCATAGATGACAGAAAACTGTTCACATTTGAAAGTTTACGAGATGAAAAGTTTCATGTGAACCATTCAATGGCTATCACTGTCATGCCATAGATGACAGAAAACTGTTCACATTTGAAAGTTTACGAGATGAAAAGTTTCATGTGAACCATTCAATGGATATCACTGTCATGTCATATATGACAGAAACCTGTTCACATTTGAAAGTTTACGTGATTAAAAGTTTCATGTGAACCATTCAATGGCTATCACTGTGATGTCATAGATGACAGCAAACAGGAAATAGATAGCGATGATGTAATGAGTTGGGTAGATGTACCGATGGACAGGGTATGGGATTATCAGACTCCTAGAAGAAAGAAAACATTTGATTTGATTCAATTTATTTATGTTTCCAACAAAACAATACAATCAATTATAAACATTCACAACAAGTGCAGAAATACATATTGGAAACAGAGGGGTCCACTCAAATGCAATGCTTGTACAACTGTGAACACCTCAAATTGTTCATGTTTGTAGAGTTTCAAAATTCTCAAATGGTAACAACTGAACTTTTAAACCTATCTGCACTAGTTTGGCCAGAAGGGATTAGACCTTCCTGCATGGACACTGGCAGGTGGTTGTCTCATCAAGTCAGCTCTTAATTAACATAAGAAAAAGGGGACCATGGGGGATAAAAAGGTACAGCTTAGACATTGTTGGCTGTATAGAGGGCACAAGTAGCTACAAGTAGTGCAGTCCCGCTTTAAAGACCAAAATTCGACCTACATGTACACCATTCCTTGTATCTAAGAAAAAAAGTTAAGGGTATTACATCTAGTTTTTGCTTTGTATGTACATGTACATTGTGGTTCTGGAAGACAGTTTGCTACATGTATCAATACAACTTCAGGATATTGTGAAAAATACAATCCTGTTGAAATATTACCCAAACTTTGTATTACCTTTAAACAAAATCAATCAAGACTTTCACGAAAGCCCATTTCTGCTATGTAAATTGTCTTACCTATATTTAGCTGAGTTGCTCCTTCTGATCATAAGAAAGATGAAAAGACCAGCCTCCAAGTTGAGAAGAAGAGAAGCAATCTTATCAAGCATGGTTACAAAACCCTGTTCATAAACAAACAAATACCAAATGAGAATGGTTCAGTAGCTTCAAATGAGATGCTAATTCAATCATAAATTAAGAGTTAATCTAAAAAAACGATAACCTGTTAGATATGATTAGACTTTGCAGGGGTGAAAGTGAGCGCTAAAAAGTAGGGTTTTAGTGAGAGTTAAAAAAAAAGAAGAGGTTTTAGAAATGCAAGTGCTTGCACAAGGCGTTCAAGCACGTTCAAGCCTTCAAGGGCACCTCACCCCAGCCCTTCTATTTTTAAACCGGATTTACATCGCTCTCAGGAACTGTTCATTTTTTATTTATTTTCATCTTCTAAAAGGTTTATCAGTGTTTATAACCAATGGAGCTGGTAGAATTGCAACTTGCTCACTATCATGTTTGTCAAATGATTTCTTTGTATTTTCTCAAGCCACTTTGGATTTATTTAGACTATGCTAACTCCATTGGTATCCTACTTTTCTTGAATAAAGAAATTATATCAAAAACAATAGAGGGCCATATTCATTTTGTCTTTCTTACCTTTGGATCTAACATAGCTACCACAAACACTAAACCAAAGACAAGAAGACTCAACAGAGGTCTGCATATCCTGAAATAAAACAAAAATACATTTGACATTTAACTTCACATGCTGCTATAAAAAAGCGTAATATTGGATTCATTCATACTTTAACTGCAACAACCTTAACATTTCATCCACATCTAGAACTGAATATCAACAAAGGCATGTAATATATATACAGGCCATACAAATGAAAGCTCTAGCTGAAAATAAAGTACCATTGTATTGTACAAATATTATGGCTTGCCCTACCTAGCAACACTTAATATATGCAGTTTGCATTCTGACTATTGACATAATATTATCAGATCTTATCTTATCAGAATAATTTGTATTGAGGCACTTCACAAAGACTTATGCATTAAATTTGGTTACATTATGAAAATGGCCGATTCTATCAAATGCAATTTTCACTATCATGATCACTCATGATGCAATACCTAACAACAGAAAGACCCCAAAATACCTTTTCGGGCAGTATTTAACTTTTGCTGGGACAGTGTTTCCTTTATCAACTTTATCCCAGGCCATGTGGGCATCCAGCCAACCTAGAACTGAAATACAGGAAAAGTAAAGAATTAACATAATGGTGATGTGAATAATATAAAAGAAAAAGAAAATCGTGTTTAAAGAAAGACTTGCCATTTTTCACTGAAATAACGTTGATAGCAGAAGTTTCTACAACAAATTAATACAATTCCCGATACAGCACTAATGTCCTTTGGCAAGGCATTAATCTTCAACTGCCACTTTCAACCCAGGTGAGGTAAATAGGTACCTGGCAGGAATTAATTCCTTGAAATGCTTGAGTGCTGTAATGGCAGCTAGGCTGAAGCCCGGGTAATAAAAAATGCATCTCGGAATAGAATTTGTAGATAGGCGGCACTATACAAATACACTTATTATTATTAATAGATGTATCATGTATCATATATCATTGACAAGGGTAATCTCTAATTGTGCATAAATAAACATGTCTTATCAAATTGGCAACAATGATAGTCTTTATCGTAATAAGTATTTCGTATTTAGTAGAATGAATACAATAAAGAAAAGTAATAGGAAATTGGCTTGGCTTTGCCATATTATTTCTCTCAATCAGCCTCAAAGACATTTTTATTTGACATTTCCAGTTTCAGAGATCAGTCATCATTGACTGAGTTTTTCAAAGTTTCTAATATGAATTATGTGAAGTAAGATACAGTAATACTGATCATGATAAAGGTTTCTATGGTTACTCACATGAATGTATAATGGCTGATCCTATAGTGAGGTATGATACTGTAATACTGATCATGATAAAGGTTTCTATGGTTACTCACATGAATGTAACATGGCTGATCCTATAGTGAGGTATGATACTGTAATACTGATCATGATAAAGAGTTCCACCAGTATAGCCACCCAGGTGTATTGTGGGTAATCATCTTCTAAGATCTAAAGAGAGAAACAAAGCAGACAGATCCCGTAACATTTTCTGTCAAACGACATACATGGATCAACATTGAAAAATATATATTGGGAACATTGATTTTAGCCTTATACTCCTTTATCATTCACAAATTCTGACCAAGGCAAACTTCTCTAAAGTTGTCATGGTTCGTTCGTTCGTGTCTCCTTAGATCAAGATTACTGTAATCTTGATCTTCGGAGTAGTTGCTACAACCGGCCGTGTCAGACACGTTGCCCCGGGGTGCGAGATAGGACTCTTGTAGCGTGCCCCCATTTAAAACAATTATACAGTTACAGTTAACAATACGTTCAATTAATAGTATGAAACTATTAAAATTACTCTCATGTTACGGGAAAAAAATATTGCATATACATATATTATGAATCAATTGATTTGGTCGATCCAGTTCGATGGCACAAACACGGCACTACTGGACGGAGATCCTAATAATTACAGAGCTTGGTCTTGTTGCTCTGTTCGCCAGCAGTTTAAGGATATGGAATCCCGCGGCATGGTACACATGCAGTATCAGTCTACTTCAATTTAGTTTGACAGACGTTGAAATGATTGTCTCAGCATATTGATACATGTAGAAACAAACTGTAACATTTCTCCAAATGCAACATTTTTTGCCATTTTCCTTTTACATGTACATTAGAGCAGGCTATCAATAGAAATCAGAGAATATTCTGACCAAGGCAAGCTCCTCTACAGTTGTCATGTTGCACAGAGTATCAGTCTACTTCCATTAAGTTTGACAGACATTGTAATGATTTAAAGGTACTATGTCCCTTTTGCAGGCCAAACAAATGAAAAGGTTAAATTCCAATGGCATTTGAAAGATAATACTACTTTAGAACTCCCCTTAAAAAAATGGGGCTTGAAAATGTCTTTAAGTGGGAAAATAATGACTACTAGTTGTCAAATCGACTTAGGAGCTATAGAGCCAATAACTAACTAACTCAGTTTAAATTTGGCCATTACAAGAAGTGGGTTATTGTAGTAGACAAATCAATTTACAGCTCATTTTATGTATGTTATTACCAAAGAAGAACAAAAAGCCAGTCAGTCACTAAATACTGACAACAGTGTCTGACAGTGAAGTCTAGCAAGTAAATGGGTTTCCTTGCATAATTTGAATATGAGGACACTGCTAACGTTTAAATTGAACAGAAAGGATATACATGACATATTTATAATTCCTGCAAAGTTCTACAGAATTTGAGGTTGGCTGCAAAAGGGAGAAAGTATCTTTAACATTTCCCCAATGCAACACTTTTTGCCATTTTTCCCCTTTACATTATAGCAGGCTATCAAAAGAAATCAGAAAATAGGTGAACATGGCTGAATATAAGAAACTGTTTTGTCAGTAATGCTGTCATCTTACCTCTATCAATGGAACAGTTGATATTTCTCCTTGTTTGGCAGATCTGAAAAAGAAATACATTTAACATAAGGTCACTTCTAAATTACCAACATCACAAATATATGTATCACAAATATATGTATCGCCATACACTACAAACACCAAAAATTGTTTTCTCTCTCTGTCCTCTCCAAAAGAACGTATAAGAATAGAAAATGGCAAAGATTATAAAGGTTTTAGTGGTAGCAGCAGTAGAAGTATCGGCAGTACAAGAATTATTAATATAAGAACATGTACATGTAGTAGCAGTAGAAACAGAAGTAGTACCACTATAAGTATTAGTAAAAGTAGTACTGGCGCTATAGGAAGGAGAGGTGTTTTTCCTTTAATACCTAAGCCCGTCTCCATTCCTATATATATATTTTGTCCATTGCAATATATATCAATCAAATTAATTAGTGCTTCCAAGCTCAACCTCATGTTCATTGTAATTGAATGCCTGCTATGGTATTCTGTACCCACATGCATGTACTGTACTGTACTCTCCTTAAGGCAAAATGGCTCCTAAGCCTCAAGCTCACATAACATTCATGGCAATGCTGATTATGTGTTGAATATAATTACAAATTCAATTAACTCCTGCTTTGTCTCTATAAAGGCAGAATGCTGCCAAACATTTAATAGGTGATATACCAACCTTTCTAAGGATAAATCTTCGACACATGGTGAAACCGATGGACTTGTGAATACATTAACTTCGGTGGTATTTTCTTGAACAAGGACTTCTTCTGTTATATGAGTTGTACAGCTACTCAGTTGAGGTACTATGTCTAACACAGCCCAACACCTGTCAATCAAAAGGGGAAGGAGGAATATCAATTTATTGCAATACTGTATCAGCAGTTATTTTCGCGAGGGAATTGCATTTTATCGCTAACTTATCACCTCATCATTTCCGGAGCGCGAAAATATCAGCATAAAATGATGTGCTTGCTTCCTCTCGATCGCTAGCTACTAGTAACCGACTTTAATGCAACGCTGTCGCCTCCCGCCCCGCGTGCTTCTTCTCTCCCCCGCGTATATATTGCACAGATTGCACGACGCACGCACGTAATCCCCGTACGTACTGGTACAGTACTCGGCTAGCTGTATGTGGTGCATGGTATGGTGCGATGGGCTGCCTAAAGTTGTGTGTGCACTTACGTGGCCGAGTCCGTGTGTGTATGTGTTGACGTGAGAAAGTTTGTGAGTACCTCATGCCCATTCATCAAAAATGCTGTGTGCTATTTGCAAAAGCAACGACTCGCGAAAATGCCTCATAGCCTATCATTCGCAAAAAATATCTGAACGCGAAAATACAAGCTTAAACAGTATACACATATCAAGTTTCATGCATTTAAACTGTAACTCACATTACAAGGTGGTTTCGCCTTGAATGTGATTAAAAGAATTCTCAGTGAGATTAGGTCCCAGGTAAATCCCTCAGAAAGGTCAAAGGTCAAATTATTGGTGTCAGCCCTGCCGAATGTTATCTGTTCTTTCTCATCTGTTCATCAATCTGCACAGTTCTAGATGTGTCATATTGTCACTTGATAGTATACAAGTATACTGCTTGGACGTGACTTTGGTCGACATCATTTAGATACATGTGTCTGAATGCATTGGGAACTGACCTAGGCTTATTATTTTTCTTGGGTAACATGAGCCACATGGGCTGTTGACAAGATATTGTAATGACGTTAAAACTCACCACAAGACATTGAGGATCATGCATGTAGCAAGGCCTGCAAACACAGTCCACCAAAATGAAGAAATCTGAAATGATCAAACACTCATAGTGAACACATTGAAAACACTCCCGACTACAGTAGTCACATCAGGAGCAGCTGTGCACCTTTGGAGGGCAGCCCTATATACCCATTATTATACCCCCCCACCTTAAAGAGAAGGTTGAGTTCTGGGAAGAGGTGAAAGATAATTTGTGAGCGTTATCATTGTCAAGTGTGAAAGAACATCAGCTGAAAAATGCTCCCCCAAAACATTGCTCTTCAAATGACTTTATATTCTAAGGATTTGGATGCCACAAATTTGTGTAGTCCCATAGTTATCTCTCTGTGTACAGTGCTTGTAACTTTACCCATGCAGACTGGGCCAAATTTCTATCTATTTAGATGATTCCAGAATCTTGCAGTACACACTATTTACTTAATTAATGCTAGATGATCAACCCTTTCTGATCGATTCCATAACGTTTCTTTCACGATGCAACTTTTTGGACATGACGTAAACATGCACTTCTTCATATTTGTGAAACCACCTTATTCAATCCTGAAGAGTACTGAAGGTAAAACTTAAAGGTATGATGCCTCTGGGGAGAGGAAGGAGGGTATACATGTGTAACTGTGAATCGATTTATGAAATGCGCTTTTGGATTTCAAATTAGTTTAATCATGAATGAAACTAGCACTTATTTTTGAACAGGTTATCTATAATGAAAAAAAAACAGTGCACTGCAAAACAACAATTATTTGAAATTCACAGAAAACTTTCATCTTTTATAGGGTCTTTAATCAGTGATTTATTACTACATTTGCAACCTAATTTGTCATGATTTAAAGAGCAAGTCCACTCCAAAAATAACTTACTTTCAATAGAAGCAGAAAAATCAGATAAACCAATCAAAAAAAGTTTGAGCAAAATCCGATAACTATAAGAAAGTTATGATATTTCAATGACATGAACAATTTTGAAAATCACAAGACAAATTGGCAACTCACTTATGAGTCTGTGACTTCATTGCCTCACTATCCACTAATTGATTTCTTTATATTGATAATACAAATTTCCCATTTACCCCCCCCCCCCCCCCCCAAGAATGTTATTTCCTCACGCCAGCATCCAAGTTATATTGATAGTAATATGTTTTTGATTGGATGCACTAATATAGAGTAATTTCTTTTTCTTCAGTTAATCATGAAAATTTTATATTTAAAAAAAATTATGAATATACAATATTCAGAAAATAGTATCAATTCTTCAAATTCTTCAAATCTATCAAAATGTCATGCACGCAATATGATACAAATCATATAACCTGGGCAAAGGCATGGGGAAATCAAGTTTTGGGGGATAAAAAGGAAATTAAAGGGATAAAATATATAGAGCAATTGATAAATAGTGAGGCAATGACATCAAAAACTGATAACCAAATTGGCAATTTATGTAGTGATTTCCATTGGTCCATAGTTTGTCATACTGTTTCAAAATTCATAACTTCCTTATTAGTTATCTGAAATACTCAAATCTATTTTGCTCTGTTTATCTTGTATTTCTGCATCTATTAAAAGCAAATTATTTTTGGAGTGGACTTGGACTTTAAAAGCTTTGTGTCTTACCTGTTTTCTTGAATACGCTATTCTGCTGTACATCATCGGCATTACATTGCACACACCCCCTGGAAATAAATCACAGAACCAAATCATGAAGAGCGATATCTACACAAAACATCACTTTACTTGCCTCTTTTTACTTGGCTACATAAACATAGAGATGAGCCAGATTTCCCCTCTCCACACTTCAAGATTAACTGAGGTGTACAATTTTGCTAGCTAGCTTTCTTGTCCTGTCTGTCGCAAACATTGGCATCTATATGACTTTTCCATTCACTTTCTTTTCTGATAACTTGTAATGACTTGGTACTTTTGTTACAAGTCAGCCCAATTTAATACTCAGATTCAAACATTTGGTAAGTTCTCTCTTCTGCTTCTCTTTTCATCATTTTGTTTTTCTCCCATAAATATCCAATTAGGAAGACTACCTGGGTTATCATTGAGAGCGCTAGTTAACTTTATCTACCATTTGAACACTGACAATTTTAAACTTTCATAAATTGCACAAACAACAAATTTGGGCAAATTAGTAATGTTATGAATTGACTGGGAGCAAAAACATCATCACTTCAAAGGTAAAGATCAGTTTTGGAAACGCCCCCCTCTCAAAAAATGAAATGGAAGCTCTTATTACCAATCATGTGAAAGAATCTGTTTTGACTAATACGTGATGATAAAACATTTACAGAGAAACCGCCTAATAATTGATATATTTGGTAAATTATTAAATCTATTTGGACCTGATAGATATTGTACACGTGTAGCGTAGTCCCAGATACATCTTTCTGTGTACAGTGCTTGTAACTTTACCAAGACTAAGACAAATTTCTTATCATTTTGATGATTCCAGAACCTTGCAGTGCACACCAATACTTATATGTTAGATGATCAACCTTTTCTGATCGATTCCAAAATGTTTCTTTCACAATGCAATCGCATGACCATAACTGGTCTTTATCAAAGCCAAACCAGCTCTACACTGACTCCAAACTGACCGATTGATTCTTGGCCATAAATGATATTAGCTGTTTGGGTTTGTCTTTAGCTGCATGGTTTACTCACCTAAAGCTACTGTCCCCATCAGGAATGGTGAACCCATGTAGTGAAAGTCATTGGTTATAGTGTTACCCACAGCTGATCCAACACCAAATGTTACCACAACCTACAAGGTAGCAGAAAGAAGCAAAAACAAAAATACACAAAAAAACAATAAAGAGGACAGTCTGATAGAGATTTTCTGGCCAAACACCATTTCAAATGAAGCACTGTATGCCCAATGCCATCAGGACAGCATGGAGAACATCATCACGAGACGAAGGTGGAGATGGATCGGACATGTAATGAGAAAGAACATACATGACATCACACGAACAGCCCTCCACTGGACACCAGAAGGCAAAAGAAAGAGGGGACGTCCTAAAAACACTTGCCGAAGAACTGTGGAAGGGGAGATTAGAGACCTGAACCACACATGGGATACCATCCAAAGACTGGCCCAGGATTGGAAGGAGTGGAAGACTTTTGTTGCTGCCCTATGTGCCAGGAGGCATAATGGGCAGTAAGTAAGTAAGTCTGATAGTGAAGGGAGAGAGTGGGGAGAAGAAAGGGAAGGACAGGGGGAAGAGGAAGGGAGAGGGAAAGGGTGAAACAAAGAGAGATATATGAGAGAGAGAAAGAGAGGGAAAGGGAGAGAGAGAGATAGAGAGAGTGAGAGAAAGAGGGGGAGAGAGTAAGAAAAAGAAAGGGCACAGACAGAAAGAGAGACTCACAGAGATAGAGATAACATTTGATTATGAATAAAATGTTCACCTGATTGCTGTAATGGAATTTAGAAATATTTTCAAATGGTTAAACAGATTTCCCCCCTTCATTTTGCCTCCTTTGCAGATAGCTTTTGATAACCACTTACTTAGCCAGAAACCTGTCAAGATAATTAATGAATCCAAACTAAATTTTGCTGACTCACAAGACAAACACTAGGAATGGGAATTTATTTTCATGTACAGTGGAAGTCCTATTCAAATGGAAAACATAAATAATTGAAGCATAACAGAAATGGATTAAACGTGCATACATGTAAGCAAAACCAAATTTACATTTAACACACAGTACAGACTTTAGATTCAAATCATAATTACACCTAATAAAGACAACTTACTGTTGCAACAAGTAGACCCCCTTTAGCTAACGTGAAGAGAGAGACGACAGGTTGAATGATACGCTGGGCAAACACAATGCCTGCAGAGAGAATCCACACAAAGGCTGGGATGATGTACAGGTACCTGTGAAGATCAGATGAAGAGAATAGTAGATTAGAGATGTTTTTTCAGAGCCCCTTAAAATATATTTTATAGACCAGTAACCTTTTGCATCAGAATTTGTCTACATACATTATATGTCCTTCTCAATAAGTCTTTCTTCTGAATTATAAAAACTCTTTGATTATATATTTATACATATTGCATGCCTGACATATCAGCATATGTTCTACATACTCCTCAACAAGTTTTCCTTCATAATCTGTAATATTCTGTATAAGAAGTAGATTCTCAGTAATGCTATAATATAGGGCAGGTGAATTGGATAGCTCATTACCAAGGGTTTTGGAAGGAAAGATGCATAAATTTGAATACAAATAAATGGGTCTTTCAATCTGTTGTGATAGAATACATCATGTTTTTTCTTATTGTCATTTCAATTCAATACATTCACAGTACGGTATCACAATCCAATTTCAAATCCTGGAACAGGAAACAAGACTTTTGCTTGAAATACTGCAAAAGCTGTTTTGTTTAGGGAAGAACATGTATTAAAGGGATCCGGTAACTTTGTCTCAGATTCTGAAACAAAATTCTGGATTTAGCTCATGATGCAATGATAATTATAAACCTTTAGGTCAGTCAGGAACCCCATGACTTTTACAAGCCGATCGCCTGTCCGATTATCAAGATATTTATGATTGGAATTACAAATTTTGAAAACCGTTCGCCTGACGGTTTTCATAACACTACAGTCTATTGGGGAAAATGAGTATGGTAAAACCGGTCACTCCAAGATTTTTTACTTTTTTGAGGCACTTCTTGATCATTTTGAAGCGCAATTTTTTTAGGGCTTCAATATTACACCATATCACAGACACTGATAACACGTAGGGCCGTGTATCTCAGATTTAACATTGTTAAACGATCCCTTTAAAGGGAGTGAAGCTTGGCAAATACTGGTTAACGCCATCTACGTCTTCATTCTACGAATGGACTTGATTAACAGTAGTCAGCGACTTAATTTCTACACAGACCAAAGTTCTCCTCACGCTTAGGTTTCGGGTATGTTGCACGCAGGTCGCGTCATCCCGTATTATACCTGATTGGCCCCGAGTCAGGCCACAGGAAAGACACATAGTTTTGTCAGGCTACACTCTCTTTAAATGAAATTACTATTTTGTGAATGTTTGAAGAATTACTTGATAGGTTGACATCAATAAGATAGGATCTGGACTTACTTTTCAATATGAAGAAGTTGTGCATAAGCTTCACTCCCAGCCAGTGCATAGCTGATTAAGATTGAAACACTGTACGTCAGAGCAAAAGAACAAAAGACAAAAAGAAAATAGAGACAATTATTAAAAGGACAAAAAAAGAGCCAAAAACAAACAAAAAATAATCAAAATATAGAAACAACAGGCACAGGGGTCCCAGCACGTCATGAAAACAAAATGCTTTTCGATCACAACACAAAACAGAAGAGACTAACCACTTTTTCTGGGGAAAAATAACTTCTTTTTCTGCTTTCAGTGACTTTCCAGATTTATTTCATTTCCAGGATATCTCGCAACCCTCAAGCCCTACGAAGAAGAAATAAAATGAATATAGTATGCACCTTTGGATTTAAAAAAGTAACAAAACTGATATTATTTCTTTTCATCTACTTACAACTGTAAGAGGAGAATGACATCAAATGCTTGGCTAAGACCACGCCCTAGAAACAACGTGCCCATCATATGAAGGTTTGGTGTGGCCACTTTTCTCGCTATCCTACGCAGCGAGTGTCTTGAGCTGCCCTTAGAAGAACAACCTGAAAATAAGATATTAAAATAGAATTGTACACCCACTCTTTTCCTTGAAGGCATCTTGTAACAATGTTAAATCTGAGATGCATGGCCCTACGTGTTATCAGTGTCTGTGATATGGTGTAATATTCCTAAAAAACTTGCGGTTCAAAATGATTATGAAGTGCCTCAAAAAAGTAAAAATTTGAGAGACTGGTTTTACCATACTCATTTTCTAGCAGACTAAGCTGACAGCATACTGCATAGGCTATGTACTGTAGCTGCTCCCGACACAGTCAGACTCTGACAGAGCTAGGCTTTGCTCAAGGCTTTAGGAATTTTGGTTAAGTGTCGAAGCAAGAGTCCGTGCTTGCAGATCAGTAGTGGTAGTGGTGGTTATTTTACCTGACTGCAAAGGACCTAAGGCTTTAGGTCCTCTCCGAGAGACCTGGTAATGAGGATTAATGCCTTACCAAAGGGCACTAGCGCATCGACTTGGTTTCAAACCCGGGTCGCCAGATAACGAGACCACTGCTCTACCGACTGAGCTACATTTGTACTCTCCTCCTGTTCTTCATCAGTGAGATTTGTGAGTGGTATTCTCATCTATGCTAAGGTACTACATGTAGGTATCTCTCTACATGGGAATGATCTGGATAATGTATGCAGGGATGCCAGTTAAAATTGATCTGAGGGCCTGAAAATCACATAGAAAGAGCTAGTTTGTACACAAAAAGCATAAGCTACGGTATCAAAATAACTCGCCAGGGCCTGAAAACTGGTATCCCTGTGGATGAACTCATCTGGAACTTCATTGTTATTTAATATGTATATATTTATTTATTCATTTTTGTCCTTAATTCTAGTTTTATAATTATAGCCTCTATGTATTTGGCAATCTCCTAAATTTCAAAGAATTTGATTCTTACCGTGGTTTGATTCTTCATTTTCAGTGAAATTTGTGAGTGGGACTTGCTGCTCCTCAAAACTCAGACACTGAAGAAAAAAAAGTAGACAAATTTACATCAATTAAATATTAAACAGTTCTTTGTGGATTAATTTTTTAGATTTTTTAAAATGTCTCAAATGTCTAAAAAGAATTCAGTGTTGTTGAAGTACAGCTTCCAGAACTTCTAGAACCTCTTTTTATTTTTCTTCCTTTCTCATTATCTACATGTATTTGACTTTAAAACTTACATCATGAAAAGAGTGCATACAGTGATTAGAAGCAAGATTATGTATGCATAGCAAATAATTAGAATTTCATTCAAAATTAATATGTAGTGATGATACAATACATACAGATTGATAGTTAATAGTTTATTATGCTTATACTGTGAGTGGGCCTATAATACTTGTGTAGCACTGCAAGTAAATGCATAAATAAAACAGAATAAATAAATAGATAAATAAATAAATATAGAGGTAAGGATGTGCTAAAGTAAGCCTATTAAACAATAATTTGTAAGCGATAATGACACAAAACAATCTTGAAATTAATTCTTTTTACATCAAATAACAAGGATCTAGGATTTTAATTGTATAAAACAAGTGATGCGTGTATACATTTGTTTCTCACAGGATCTATCCGCTCTTGATGAGGCTGTTTATGCACCTATCATACTCAGCCTGATAAGTTTGTATGATAGATGCATACAGCCTCAACTCAAGTGCGGATAGATCGTATTAACTCATTTGTATGCATCATTTGTCTAATATGAATTTAAGTATAATTTTAACTTTCAATTGGCCATTTTTGTAATGTTACCAAACTTAATGCATACATGTACGTCTCGGTAAAGTGCCCCATACAAATTATTTCATTCAACCGTTACAACTAATTTGTACATGTATAATTTTGACAATATTTGATATTTCAGGTAGGACTAACATTAACATGTAATGCAATTTGTATTCTGACTATTGGAATATCGTTGTTTGTTAACAGGTTGAATAAATAATCAATATTGAAGCACTTCACAAAAGATGCATTCAGTCAATTTGCTTACATCATGAAAAGGCCTACCGGTATTAGAGTACAATCCTTACTTTTCAGTTGTCAAAACTAATCAACCATACAGACAAAAAAGGAACAATCTAGATAGTCCTACAAGTACATAAATGCATATTTTGTTTGCCTCCATTCGAAATTACTTCCTAATTTTCATATTATATAAATTTGTACCTCTACACCATGTGCGCTAGAATATGAATTTCTTACTTTATGTTTCTCAATGTTGTATGCATGAGCTCTCTGTAGCACATCGATGAAGAAGTAGATGAGTAGGGCCTAGAAATCAAAACAGTCAACAACAAAAAAATAAACATAGAAAGTTTTTGGTTTGATCGCAAAAAGAGAACTAACATATCATTGTGCAGTTGAGAATATCTGTAAAGAAATGTGCGACAATATTACAATTATTAATAAAGAGTAATAATTATCGTACCAAAATAATTAATAGCTGAATGGCCATGTTTTCCCGGATTTAAAGATTTTTTTTCTTCTTCTGATTTTCATACCCAAAACATTTTCCCCATGTGATGTACAGTACCAGTTTAATTACAATAATCAGAACTTGTGTTTGGAATAGAATCTGTAAATGTACATGTACATACTTTATAGAAACTTAGAAAGCAAATATCTCTATGAAAATTACCCAAAAAAAAAGCAATTTAACAAAACCTTTTTTTCTTTCTTTTTTAAAAACAATATTCCATCATCTGCAGCATGCTTTCACCAAAGTCCCCAAAATGGATAACTTTGTATAAAAGTATTAAAAAAACGTGCTCTTGACAGTAGATCTCTTTGTACATATACTTGATAGCACTAAATGTAAGGTCTACATTAACATTGAGTATGTACTTTCATCTAGATGAAAGATATTTGTTTGTGAACTGAGATGCATTCATACCTGAACAACAAAGCCAATGAGAAATGAGACGAGAAACGGGAGGAAGCCAGAATGAGACAGAGTCACCGGTAATCCTACAAGAACAACAAGAAAGAGAACTTATTAATATCAGTTTATCATCATTTCATTCAAAATATAGAATAGATCAACTTGTAAGATATGCAGGTAGAAATGTCCTTAATTTGTACATTTACAGGTACTTGGTATTCATACTAAAAAATGATAAAGAACCAGCAATTGCACTAAGTTCTGATCATGGGTGTCGATCCGTAACTGATACCTATTCATCAGGGGGGGATGATCTATTCATTCATCCCCCCTGATGAATAGGTATTACGTAAGTATCGACACCCATGGTTCTGATACATTAATATTATTTTGTTATCAGTTGAAATCATCTTCTTATGATTTTTAAACAAAACAGCAAATATCCATTGTTGTATCGAGAAAGAGACAGAAAGAGACACAGAGAGAGACATGCAGAGTGAGAGAGATGATAATACTCTTTTTGATGGTTTTTTTTAATTTTTTTATCTCAATGCAAAGAAAGATATGTGCTAGCATCAAAGAAATCAAATACCTTCATTGACACAAATGAACATTTCTAAAGTGAAATAAGTTTTCAAGTGGATGATGAAAAAAAAATTTGGCAAGTAGGTACAGCTTCAAAAATCCTTTACACTGACTATCAAAACAACAAAAAACAGAGCAAAAAACCTGCCAAAAAAATTAAACCCTCCATGCTGCATATCAATCCTGTGAAAAACAAGCAATTTCAATTTTCCATTAGTAAACCAGAAACTCTGCTATATCAATATTAGTTGATGTAATCCACCTCCAGACACTGTCTTTGTATAAACAATCCCATAGGATGACAATCTGGTGGATGAAAACAAGTAAGAGTATCTAGAGAGACCCCTCATTCTCAACACTAATATTTCTTGTATAAATGGTATCTTATTCAAATTTAAATTGTTTAGCTAAATACGATGTAAGTTAATAATAATAATAATAATATTTAATTTTCACATAGCGCTTAATACAAATGTCTCTAAGCGCTTTACAAATATACTATTACTCCAGTCATTGGATTCAGTGCTTGCCCGCACACACTGTGTGCACAATCTCCACTCCCTGGAGAGTCTGAACATCAACTACAAAAAACAAACAATTTTTACCACCCCAATATCTTTGTTCAAGCACAATTCCTTTTTTATTACTACTATTACCACTCATTATGTGTATGCTTTATTTGTTGTGCAGCAAATCACACGTTTGAACATAATTTTCGTACAAAATTTAACAAAGAATATCAGAATTCTATTCTCATCTAAACATCATACCCTACAAAAATTAACGATAAAGTTGAGTTCTGGTCATGTGATTGCATTGTGAGAGAAACGGTGTGAAATCTATCAGAAAAGGTTGATCATCAAGTATATAAGTATTTGTGTGTATTGCAAGGTTCTGGACTCATCAAAATGATAAGAAATTTGGCCAAATCTTGGCAAAGTTACAAGCACTGTACACAGAATGATGTATATATGGGACTACACGAGCACATGGCAAAAAAAACCTCCCCCCCGATTTTTACGATGTTTCATGTCATATTTGTCATATTTAGAATATAAAGGCATTTGAAGAGCCATGCTTTCAGGGAACATGTTTAATCTGATGTTCTTCCAACCTTGCATAATAACAATGATAACGCTCACAAATTATTTTTTACCTCTTCCCAGAACTCAACCTTCTCTTTAAAGCGGTTCTTGGCTTATTGTGAGCATGCACCGACGATTAGAGAGCTGTCATGTCATCGGATATATCTATAGCTTCAAAACGTTTCTAATAAACGATGTTGTTATACATGTACAATGTAGGCCTACATGTATTTAGTGCGTACACACTTTCAACTATATGATGGTACAAGGTTTCTTCATGGTACAAGTTTTGTATAAATTGCCTGTACTGAGTCTGAACATGCTCAGTAAGAAAGGACACTTAAGATGGTTAAACTTGATTAGATACGGATGAGACCCATGGGCTTTAGATTATGCATAGCTTCTACAACATGCATGCTACCTACACTACAACCTTGCATTCTAAGTGTTTTCTTCTTATGCGGAGAAGGGTTTGGATTTAGGGTTCAATGGGATAAACCTCTTAATGCAAGGGGGGGGGGGGATGCTTCATGTAAAGCCCTCAAAATATTTTAGAAGACTGAAAAAAGGAAGAGTTTTTTATAATATGAAATACATTAATGTAATTGGCCACAGAATTCTCACTTTTAGATACAAACCTAAAAACAGATCCTGTTTAATCACTGATGATAGTACAATACAAAAAGAGAATCTCATTTAATAGTAAAAAGTAATACAATATGATTTTCATAATCAGCAGCAGATCCACTTGACATAACAGGTCGTTCATAAATTAATGAATTGAAGACCCAAGATATCAATGAAATTCTACTGAACACCATATCACTTCTGAGATGTACACCTGTGCCATAAATCAGCACTGTTTAGATGGTGATCCAATTTGACAGGAAAGACAACCCACAGGGCTGTAAATTATGCATGCTTCTATGCATACTAAACACACAGATCTAGGGCATTGACGAAGAGGGCTTGAAGGTACCGGTATCTTTCCTTAGCAATGGATTCAGGCTTCAAAATAAAAATTAGAGCTAAAACCCTTTAGAATATTAACTGGATGGGTCAATTGAGCAAAGAAAAATGGTGCATAGATGCACAAATTGGAGACCATCACTTTGATAAATTATTTTAACCTAATAACCTAATATCAAATTCATTTCAAGATAGACAAAGCATGCAAATACACAGGGATGAAATACTATGTACCTACATGTACATTTCATGTGTAGTATCATGATATCAGTAAAAGTAAATGTGCATTTTTTTTTGTCCTTTCCAGCTGATCATCTTGTGACACCACTCCGGCAAATTACTGACAGTCGTGTTTAATAAAATGTTGGTGCAATGACTACATCTAATGGAAAGTGACAGTGTACTATCAGTATGGATTGTTTTTCTGAAATGATACAAGCAACTACCCCCCCCCCCCCCCCAAAAAAAAAAAAAAATAAATAAAAAAAATAATAATAATAATAAAAAAAAAAAAAAAAAAAAAAAAAAAAATATATATATATAAATAAAAAAAAAAAAAATAAATAAAGAAAAAAAAATAGTACTACTACTTATACTAATAATAATAATTATACAAATAAATAAATTAAAAAAAATCAAAATAAAATAAACAAAGTAAACAAATACATACATGTACATGTATATATTTTTAAATATATATATATACAAATAAAGAGAAAATAACAAAAAAGAAAATGCTGTGGTAAAATAGAGCTCATACATAACCCACTGTTATACTACTTCTACATGTACATGTACCTAAATAACTTCAGTTACTTTATTAAATTCATTAAGGCAAACAAAGTAAAAGTCAATAGTCAATACCGACACAGATGAGAAAAACTGAAGGAATTCAATGCTGTTCTAACCTTTCAAATGTGGTTCTGGTGGCTGCATGCCTCACACAAATGCATTAATCTAGATAGAACAATATAGGCACATCATTCTCTGACATTACTACACACTAGTGTCATGTATCTTTGTAATGTTAATTTTCTACAGACAGACAAAAAATATATACAAACACAAAACAACACCAAGAAAACAATCTTGTAAGAACAATAGTGTAAAGAGCTTTTGGTTTGGAAGAAAAAAGGGATGTTGGGGAACAAAGAAGAACTCAAACTTACCGAGGATGCCTGTTCCTAAGATGCAAGCAATTGTCACGAAATCTGAAGAAAGAAGAATGAGATGAGGAGAATTTAGAACAAATAGGAGACATTAAAGATTGGTTCAAATGGGTGAGAGTGTAGAAGTAGAAAATAATTTCAATTTAATTCAATTGGGGTTTTATCAATATAGAAAATAAAAATTTAAAATTTGACTCCAAACACTAACAATATCAATTTTGTTGAAAAGAAATGTTTGGCTTGCACCCAGTAGATAAAGATTGCATGCTCAACTTGTAATGACAAGTCAGATTTTTTTTTTGAACAGCAGGATTTGAACCTTCCATCTAATGCTAGCCGGGCAGAGACTGTACCACCAGGCCATCACTGGTCCATGGTACAGTCACAACGAACCACTTACCTTTGAAAGTTCACTGTTAATGTTTATTTGTTATGTTACCCGTTATATATTGTGATATTATTATCTTTGAATGATAGGTTTCCTCCGAGAAGTTTCAATTGTTGTTGGTTCCTAGATTTTTCCTGATTCGTTTCAATTACAAGATCGAGCACATGATCTTTATCTACTTGGTGCAAGACTGCAAGCCAAAAATTTCTAAACAATTGAAACTTCTCTGAGGAAGCATATATTAGCCTAACGTTCAAAATTAATATCACAATATGGCCATTAATGGGTAACTTTAAAGGTAATACAAAGTTTTGGGAATGGGGTCATGAATTTGGTTCAAATGAACATAATGGAAGCATATGCGATCCTACAATATTAAGTGATCGTTGTCGCGGTTGAAATCAAGTCTAAAGTTATGAAATTGTAAATAATAAACTTTTCATGTTGTATAGCTCCCTCTCAAGGTCAAGATATTAATTAAGCTAAAAAAATAAAACAATGTTTCTTGACTAAAAAAGCTATTCCCGTTTGGAAATTATATACAAATGTATCATAACTACATATTTTGAGAATTTTATGGTCGCAGCTACCATTGTACATGTACGGCCGTAGGCGCTATTTGTAATTTATCAAAATTTACCGGGAGCACCTGTAAATTTTTATGTTGTTTTAGGGGCTAAATTTTCTAGTGCTTATAATACATCCACAGGGGCATCCAAATATATCAAAATTGTAAAGAATCACTATCCACCCAATTTTCAAAATTTCCTAAAACTTTGTAATACCTTTAAAAATAAGCATTATTCATTAAACATGAAGGTTACGAACTCATTTCCTTATGACTTTCCTGCCCTCTACGAAAGTTCATTCAACTCAACAGCTCAACGGCATATTAACCTGGTAACCTAAAATCACAAAAAAGGTACAGGAATGCTCTACAGTTCATGTGACATACACGTATCACAGCAGATTCAGAATTTTATAGGGGACAGGGGTTAAAATTTGGGGAGAAAAAAAATGTCTAAAAGGTTGCGTTTATCGTGTCTTGCCACTAGATATGTACATATCGAACCCCACTATCGAACCCCACTATACGAAAGTGATTTATGGGATGTTGCGTTTATCGTTTCTTCACGATTCAAGGCCTTGTGTCTGCGCAGCTGTTTTGCGCCGTTTGACCCGGGAAGCAGACAGTTTCTCGGAGGTCAACTACACACACATGCTTGTACACAACACATGGCGCGCGCTAGCCTCCGAACCGGAAATTAACCTGGGAAGGTCCGATTTGTATGTGGGGTTCAAAACAGCTTTGCGTTTATCATCTCTCAGAAACGTGATTCTGGCTGTATTCAAAACACACCTTTTTGCGTCTTTAGATATGCCCATATCTAAAGACGTTTGAAAAAAGGCTTTGCATTTATCACCTTCAAAATTTGCCTGAAAGACGTTTGAGAAACCTGATTCTAGGCAAAAATTTGGTCAATAAAGGCACCCAAAGCCAAATAAAGTAGGAAAAGGGTTATCACATTTTCAGGTATAAGGGGAAGCCCACCTTGATATCAAGTTGGTTTTAATAGAAGTAGACAAATGAGAGAAACAGGTCAGTGATACAGTAGTTTGGTGATGTAAATGGGTACTTGCCATTTTTTTACCTGGCAGGAATCAATTCCTTGAAATACTACAGCGCTGTAATGGCAACCATGCTAAAGCCAGGGTAATGATTGTGGAGCGCCAAGAGTCTGACAGGTACATGTATGAGCGCTATACAAGAACCGCCTATTATTATTATTATTAATCCTTGTAGTGCCAGGTTCACAAAGAAAAAAAGAGGCCAAATCACAATTATTTTATTATCATTGTGCAATTTGTGCCAACTTATATTGTTCATGTCCATACAAATAGAATATCATACATGATGCATGTAGTTCAGAAACCCATTTTATATTTTCATTATGAAATATAATATAGGCTTTTCTTTGCCTAAAATAATTAGATACAATATAAAAATTCCGGCCTCATAAGAACAAACAGCTTACAGCAATAAAAAGGATAATAAATTTCCTACCATCTCTTCAAATGGTACTACCAGTATTTATCCCCTAAAATTAAATGTTCATAATATATGTCCACTATCTTCCCTATGGAATTTGACTTTTACGCTCTTGAGATGCAATCATGCAAGGCCCGGCTCATTTCCAATATAGGCGTCTTGTGACAATCAATAATTCCTAGGGCTTTCTCACCCTCCATCCTCAATTTAATGCCCAACTTCTTCTCTTTATGAGATGCGGGGACATGGAATAGTGTTTGATTCATCACTGGATACATGTGCATAGAGTAAATGTATTCAACCGCGATGCTACCGGGCTGCAGGCATAGACACTTATGGAGTATGGATATTGGATACAATACAACTTACATTTGTTAATGGTGATTTCAGAGAAACACAAATTTAAGTTTTTATGGCAGTGTAAAATCGACAAATGGCTTAAAATACTGCGTGCACAGTACATGTTGATCTATAACTGAGAGAGTGCAGATGCCCTACATGTATTTGAGGATTTGTGTTTACAAACACAACTATATGTCCTCCAACAAATAAAATCGTAATTCATGGGGTACAATTTTTGAGATGGACTTTATCAGCTAACAACATAGTTCCCCCGTATTTAATAGATACTTGATTATTCTGTTCAAAATTTGATGATGATGATGACACATTCATTTTTCATCAACACAAAATAAACAATTATCTTTTATGAATAATAAATCATCTGTTGAGAGCATGTCTCTGCGAGCCTTGGTACTGTAAATGATTTGTATAAGGGTGGATTCACGATCACTTGGCCAGTCTCCGGCTATTATAGAGCAAAACCTTGGGTGTTGTGAAACCTGTTAAGATGAAACATGTCTCAAAGAAAACGACAAAAATAGGAATTCCTTTTAAGCCTTCTTTTAATAAATTACTTGGATTTCCTTCTGAATTTAGCCATTTTAATGCAAGGACATGCTGGGAATTGAGCCAGCATACAGAAGCAATAATATAATTTTAACCGTTTGTGGTGCCGTGAATACCACATGGCAGTTTATAAATGGTATAGATCTGTTATCTCACTGTGAAATAATTTTTTTTGCAGGTACATGTACATTTATTTTACCCATATGCCTCTAAGAGACAGATACCATAAATAATGATTACACCGCCACCTTGTATTTAATGCACCACATACCGCTAAATCAAACAATATTTTACCCCATATGCCTCTACATTGTAAGACATACTAAAAATATACAGATCCATTATACTAGAAAAGAAAACACAGAAAAGGCAACATTTTCTCACTACATTGCCATTGAAAAGAATTTTTACCATAAGCGTTTGTAAAACCCAACCACTTTCATTTTTAAACAAAATTTTTAAAGACATACATGATTACCTGTATAATAATGTAAAATTGATATGGTTTGATTTGATCAGACTACGTATTGCTCTGCAAGGGGTAACAATGAGCTCTAAAATAGAAGCACTAGTATTTAATCGTTTAAAATACCGGTAAGACATTCAGCGTGTCCACACACAAAACAATTTATCCCGAAACTCTATAACGAAATGTCATGTAAAGAATCAGCGTATAAATTACAGAGTGTCCACACACAAGAAACGTCGTATAAATAATCATTGTATAATAATAATAATAATAATAATAATATGTCTTGTTTACCCAGGGTAGCCTCATCAGTATTCATACTGTTCTCCCTGAGGGCCCTGCAATCATATTATTACCCCGGTCATCGGATTCAGGCTTACCCGCACCCAATAATTCCAGGATGTCCACACACAGAAGAAAGTAATCCTGAAACTCTACAGTTAAATGTTGTATACAGTGTAGGTGCACAGTTTGCTACTGCTGTCATGAAATGGAAGCGGAAATGAGAGGTCAGGTTTCCTTTCGCGCGAGGTCACGTTAAGCCCCGCCCAGTTACATGTAGTTACACTAGTTACACTAGTTACGTCCACACATAACACCTTCCGTGATAAGGCATGATTCTTTATTGAATTCTAGTTCGAAGCGATGCCCAAACTTGCGTTTCATTATACGACGTTTCGTTATACGATGTATCGTTAGTGAGCGTCCGCACACACAATTTCATTGTATTACTATCGCGAAACTGTATAACTATCGCAAAACGGTATAGCTAATCACGGAAAATGTTGTGTGTGGACAGGGGGATTGTCTCAACCACAAAATTATATTTTAGTAAAGGTATTAAATGCAGATCTACACAAACATCATTGTATCACAATTAACCATAGTCAAGAATTTGATAGTGACTGCATTCTATGCCCTGATCCTGTTTCCTCAACCAAAGTCAGTTTGACATGATTACTATTATTTGGGTGGCCTCATATATTCAGGGTTATTACCTTGGCAACGGACGATTGCTGATCTCATACAAATTAACTCACATAGCTATCGCCACACAAAACAGTCATCTTTCAAATGGCCTTGACCATTTTATTGACAATTAACAAACCAAGTTCATAAATTTTTTGATAGATGATCAATTAGTTATTGACAGTCCATACATGTGTACATACATACATGTACAGTGTACTACCATGAACAGCATTCAAGATACAATCTAACATTTAAAACAAGTCAAGTCAAACTGGTATGGTATAAAACTAAGTAATGCACATGAACACATCTACCAAAATTCACTAACTAATTTATGCAAAATAAATCAATTAGACATCAAGGTCCTCATAAATAGAACTCCATGTTAAGTCGTTTAAAGGGTGTTAAGAACCACAACGCATTTAAACCTAAACTGAAAAGAAGAATACTTGCCACTTATTGATTTGTTGAAATACGCAATTGATTCGTATATTTTGTTAGTATGTATGTAACATTATTAGTATTGTATTGTATAACATTTCATAGTATTGTATTGTATTGTATTGTATTTTTTTTTGTCTGGGGTTGCTTGTTTAAAAGTTTTTGATTTATTTTAGCAATCCCAGTATTTGAAATGTTTTAATGTGTGGTTTTTATCTTTTGCCAAATAAATGTCAACTGAATTAAATTGAATTCAATCACTTGCATAAAACAACAAATTATTTTTCAGCCTGGCACTGGCAAAATAAAAATGTTTCAGCCTGGCAATTTCAAAACGACACAACACTTGGACAAGGATTCTCTTCTTCCAGAATATGCCAAAGAAAACACAGTTCATCCCCATAAGAGATGTTATTGATTTATAGATACCATAGTTTTTAAACTACACTCCTTTACAGTATTTCAGATCTTAACATTCAAAATAAGCAAAAAGCAATATGGCATAAAATTGAAACATGTAGATGTACATGTAGCCATACAAGATGAGGGGACGAAAAAAAATAAAGTTTTGGTCTGGCACTTTCAAAACCACAACACCTGGACACGAGCTGTCTTCACCTAAGAATATGCCTAAATGCAATTAAAGGCGTTACAGGCAGATTAATAATTCCTTTGGAGTTTGGATATACCCGGACAGCAAGCGACCTAGATTTGACAAGCAACCGAAAAACAAAAAGGCGCCACCAGCATGGGTGTCGATCCGTAACTGATACCTATTCATCAGGGGGGGATGATCTATTCATTCATCCCCCCCTGATGAATAGGTATTACGTAAGTATCGACACCCATGGCCACCAGCACCAAAGAAATTTGTCATCTGGGATTGAATTACCCATCCCAAGCGCGATACTAATTTGATTGTTCAATACTGGAAAAGTGTGTGGTGTTGGATTTCTTGATGTACCTGGGAAACCTCACTACTCGAAGCAATGGAAGGCAGTGTTTTTTTAAAAGAAAGCCAAGGCAGGAAAACAAAGCATGGAGAGTATCTGTATCATGTGATTATTGTTATATTTCATGGAAGGAAAATGCAAGGCAGTTAAGTTAACTGGTCTCTTCCTCAAAGATTTAAGTTGAGTTTTTGTAAGGATGACAAATAATTTGTGAGTTTTCTCACTTTTTTTCCATCTACATGTACTGTATTGTATGTATGTAAGTTTGGAAGAGTAATTGAAGTAGAAATATCTTCTGATTAAGAAAAGACATATATTGCTCTTCAAATGCCTTATATTCAAATTATAACAAGAAAATTAAGAAATACATGTATCTGAAAAGTTAGGAATAAACTTTCATGCCACATATGAATGTAGTCCCAGACTACGTGTGAAATCTGTATAAAATGCATGAAATTTTCAGGAAGAATCAAGCGCGTAGCCAGGATTTCATTTTAGGGGGGGGGGGGGGGGGCAAAGCGTGCGAATCATTTAAAGAGCGCTCCCTAGGGGGTGGGTGCAGGAAGCTTTGAAAAAAGATGATTCGTTGTACCTTTCTTGACTCATAATCCTTGTCTAAATTCAGTCCGCCTTTCCTGCGCATAGCGCAGAAGCTTTGACGTATTATAAAACAAAGAAGACAATTCGTTGTACCTTTCTCGACTCTTAATCATTATCTGTATTCAGTCCCCCTCCCGCAAGCTTTGACGTTTCATTAATTTATTAGAGAAAGAAGACGACTTGAAGTACCGTTCTCGACTCATAATCATTGTCTGAATTAATTCAGCGCCCCTCCCCCCTCCTCCTGCGCAAAAGCTTTGACGTATTATTAGACAAAGTAGACGATTTGTTGTACCTTTCCCGACCCTTAATCCTTTTTTGAACTCAGTTTCTCCCTTTCCGCGTGAAGCGTTGAAGCTTTGACGTTTCATTAAATTATTAGAGAAAGAAGATGATTCGTTGTACCGTTCTAGATTCCGTTTCCCCTTTTCTTCCGTCTTCTTACTTTTTCTTTTTTTGGCCAGCGTTTTTCTTTTTTTTTTTTTTTTGGGGGGGGGGGGTGACTGCCCCCACTGCCCCCCCCCCCCCCCCCTCCCTGGCTACTCGCCTGGGAAGAACAAGTCAATTTCAAGTTGTTTTGATGATTCCAAAACCTCACCATATATACCTTGAATATATACCTTGAAGTCCACACCTCGCCATCGTGGTGATGAAGATCCCGTAGATAGTGTGGTGTGGCAGGGTTAAGGGGTCCCATAGGACCCATTTAAAAACCCAGATTGGATAGTTGTTGTTTGAAGCTTAGGAGTGTGGGAGCATCAATGGCAGTTTGTGGCAGCTTGTTCCATTTGCTTACAATTCTCTGGCTATAGAAATTTTTCCTGATGTCAAGGCGGCTTCTTGTTTTGGCTAGCTTCATGGAATGGCCTCTTGTTTTTTCATAGTTAGCAAACTGAAAATAATTCTCCGGGTTGGATTTGTCGATTTGCGTCATTATCCTGTAGGTTTGCAGTAGGTCTCCTCTCTCTCTCTTCTTTTCTCCAAAGTAGTTAGTTTCAGTTTTGCTAATCTCTCTTCATATGGTAGATGTTGAATACTTGGAATGAGTTTTGTGGCTCTTGCTTCTTTTTGTCTTTTTCCAGGTAGGGACACCAGGCCTGAATGGCGTAATCTAGGTGGGGTCTGACGAGTGATTTGTACAGTTTTAAGATCACTTCCTTACTCCTGAATGTAAAGTTGCGTTTTATCATTCCTAGTGTCCCGTTTCCTTTATTTGCTGCTGCAGCACACTGAGAGGCAACTTTCAGGGACTTGTGTACTAGAACCCCTAGATCTTTTTCTTCTGTACTTTCTTTCAGCTGGAAATTGCCCATCATGTATGTGTAGTGTGGGTTGTGAGTTCCAAAATGCATCACTCCACATTTGTCTGCATTGTACCTCATCTGCCATGTATTTTCCCATCTGTGAAGGTGGTTGATGGAGTTTTGCATGTCTGTTCTATCATATACTGTACATGTACAAGAATCTGACTACAGAAATCAACCTTTCAAACATGTCCTCCCTAAATTGAAATGCATTCAGATTTGTTTTACTAAATTAAATACTTGTAAGACAAAAACAATGAGGTCTGTACATTTTTGGGCTCTGGATAACAAAATCCCCCCCCCACCCCCTCCTGAAAAAATAGTTAGTGTGGATTGGAACCCCATTATTTACCCAATAAGTTGCATCTTTTATGAAGTATCATTTTCACTCGGTCATATCTTTATTAAATACTCAACTAATATTTCACTTTCTTATTCGCTTCTTCAACATGAAATGAAGCCTTGAGTTTTGGTAGATATATTACAGAACATGCATATCCAACCAATTTTTGAGTGTCTGTGTAGTTTTATAAACAATTATACGGTAACAAATATTCAGAATTTCGCGAAACCAAATTATTCTGAATTATCTCTCCACAAATCGCAGTTACCTGGAAGAATCCTGGATCGATGAACAGGCTTAGACCTACAACATCGTGTATTAAAGTAAAGTAAAGTATAATGTATAGACTATGTTATACAACAAATACCAGTGTTATGATAAATGATGAATGTTAACAAACAGTCAAAAATGAGATGTGAGTTTTAATAGTTGATTCTAGTCTATTAAATGAAGAAAACAAAAATGAAAACAGAAAGCCAGCTAGGGAAAAAATATAAGCACTGGAAGGGTCCATTTCAACATCTTCATATTTTTAGCAAACTATCATTTCATCAGGGCGGACTTCCACATTAACACCTGTTTAACACCCTGTTTATTATTAGGGCAAAACACTGGAAAAGAGCTAGACCTAAACTTCTACTTCTTCTAGTCTGCTACGTCATGAAAGACGAATGAACATCTATGGGAAAAAATGAAAGGAATTGGAAAGAACCTCAAAGGCTCCATTCTACAGTTAAACAGTTTATTATCATGAGGATTTTTAATAACTTAATTTGCCAGAATGATTGGGTGGGGTGGGGATTGGGTGGGGTGGGGATTGGGTGGGGTGGGGGTGGGGTGGGGTGGGGTGGGGTGGGGTTGCTATAATGGAATGCAGTCGCAGACAGTTAACGATCACTAGCAGGGAGTAAGGTTAGATCTATGATAATATGAATATTTGCAAACGACTTACAACACTGAATAAAAACGACACCAACTCCAACGCTTTGCATGAAGGTTCTGCTTCCTCCTTCATTTCTCATTTGATCAGACATGTCAGAAGAATCCATCCCAAGCGAATCATCTTCCGTCTCCGATTTGAACCCATCTGCGAGAAGATCGGGTGCAACATCGTTTCCATCTTCACGATCTTGGACATTCGCAAACGGTGAATTGGGATTTTCAAGCTCATGTGTGATATCGAAAGTGTCTTCCAAGTTTATCTCTTCTTCGTCCTCCATTTTCTAGTTATCAAAATACTGAAAATACCGAACGTATACTGGTCAAAATGAGACTGGCATAAAAGCGCTGTACACAATCAGCTGGCCAGAAATATTAATCAACGTGGCCCGCGCCCCTGGCCTGTGGCAGTCAAGGCAATGTACGCTATATCTAGAGCATGCAAAGAGATGGCCAGCTCACGGGAAACGGTACTTGGTGCATGTATGTTATACGGGGCACAAGCTCGCCAGGGTCCGGTCGACCGATCCACTGTTCACATTTGCTGTGGACGTGTGCCTGTAATGTTATGATGGCTCAGTGGTAATTTATACCAGCTGGCGCTGTTTATGCGTGAAAGGGGAAGCCCCATTCACCATTCAAAAGCGGGCCTTGACCTGGGGTAACACGAAAATGCGCATCAAACCCTCGCTACCTCATCTTGACCTTGGCAAGTCCTTGCGAACATAACTTATGCAAGATTAATTAAATATACAATCAAGAATTGTTGGAAAAGGTAATTTCAGTAATCTTGTCCGACAATTGTAAAATCCACATCAATAAATAAATAAATTAGACGCACTATACACGTCATTTTGGCCTATCCTGACCAACTGAATATGGTTGACGACCCCTTCGCTTCCCCTTCCTACTCTCGTTCTATTTCCATCACATATATTAATTTAATTGTCTTTGTGTATATGTTGTTTCCTCTGTATCGTACCTATAATGTACATGATTGGATATCATGTATTTTAAATCATGTCATAATCATAGTGTATGACCTAGCCCCGCGTCTTCTTCGTTTTGTACCTATATATATGTTTCGATCTTTCTATATTTTTTCATATTTCATTTTGTCTTCTATGTGTCCAGGTTCTGAACGCATAGCATTACTATCATTTTTGTTGGTAATATTACAAATAGTATTTCTATTCCTCGATTATTTTTATTTAGGCCTATACTTTAATTCAGTAGTGTATTTTGTAATATCAATTTTTATTTACTTATCTAATACAAATATTCCAATGCATTTGGACCCCTATGGAAATCTTTTATTGCTGTGAGGGTGTTCCATCCCATGAGAAAAAAAAAACGAATGAACGAATGAATGAACTAATAAGTTAACCATTTTATGTAGTGTTAGTGTTTAAGTAAATGTTGGAGGATCTCGGCAATGCGAAACTTGTCCTGATAATGAACCACTTTAAGGATGTTATGTTGAAGCTATAACATGTTTCACAATTGAAAGTTGATATGAAAAACTCTTTCCAGTTGTTCCAAGAAATCTGCTTCTAATATATTTCCTTCCATCTGCAATCAATTCCTTCTTTTTCCTGCTCAGCTGACGTCACTAAACTGGGTGCTTCCCTAGCCTGTCCCCTCTTCCGTGTATATTATATCTTCCCTTGCTCTTAGTGGTAGGGGTACGGTAGTGAGCACTAATTTTTTGGTTTGCACTCGAAACTGATTTGAAAAATTGCAACCCCCCCCCTTGAGCGCCAGGGGGAGGGGGGGGGGGGGGCCATCTCCAAGAAAAGGTAAAATTAACGTTAAAAAAGGTTAACAATTCCCATTCCCCCCTCCCCCCCCCCCCCCTGGATCCGCCACTGACTACATCACTACAATCTGGATCATTGGCCGGTATAGGGAATCACAGCCGAGAAGACAGCGTCACGGCTATGCGATTGAACATCGGACTCCCAACTCTACAAGAGCGACGACTGGAATCACGTCTAGCCATGATGTACAAGATCCTCCACCACCAGATAGCCACCCCTCTTCCAGATTACATCTCACAGAAAGACAGAGCTACAAGGAGTCAACATCACCTTCGTTTCACCAGACTTGGTACATCCTCCGATTCTTACAAATCAGCTTCTTTCCTCGCACCATGAAAGACTGGGATGATTCCTACAAATATCATTGAGCTGCCCACATTGAAGCAGTTCAAGGAAGCCATCAGCTGCGAATTGTCACAGCATCATCATTATTTTTATGATTTTTATGATTTTTATCATTTTACTTGCACCATAAACATGTATATATTTCGGCACAAATTCACACAAGCCGTCCACCGTCGGCAGAAGATCACCCTTGTCTAGATGCTAAACAGGCTTTGACAAGTAGTAGAATAGAAGTAGAAGTAGAAGTATATTACAGTATGAAGTTGGCAAACAATATTTTAAGCAACAGGCTCTTGCTCAACTACTATTGTTTCTGAAAGTAATGAAAAACAAATAAACAGACAAACAAAATTTAACACAGTCGACATGACTGCATGTATATTATAAAGGATGAATATGATTTTGTAATTTGAGCAACTAACTAGAACAGCTAAAGACAGAAAGTTATCGAGAACCTGCGTCCCAATGTCTATTTCATGATCACCCTAACGGCTTACAAACTATGGGACATACGGTAGATATATATATGTATACATATATATATATATATATATATATATATATATACATATAGAAAGATATTGACGTTGATTAAGACGGCAAGTCGTTACATAATTATAAGGCCTATCGTAATCTTGAGGGGGAAAACTAGGCCTTTTCACTTCTGTTGATGTTATAATGTATAGATTTAACCCTTGAGCTGCATGTTTGTTAAAATTTTTCAATAATTTTTCATAGTTATCCGATACGACATATAGTAGTACAGCTATCCAAACGTGATGTTTTCCTATGATGACTAGATCTATATTACTTTATAGCCGAAGGCAGATTATAGATATGTTTTTGCCTTTTTTATTTGTCGATCGGCAAGACCCTTACCGGCCTTTGGCTCCTCCCACCCACCAGACGTGAGACAACATCTTCAAATGCTAATCAGCAGAATCACAATTTTTGTCAAAGGAATCACCAAATCTACCCAGATAAAGAATTGGTTTGAACATTCGCACATTTTCCAAGGTAATGTTCCTGACAATGATATGCAGAAGTGTCTAAAAATTGAATTACGATCGATATTGTGTGTTGTTATCTTACAAACTAAATTACACTAGGCCTACAGACAGTCCCGTGTGCTCATTGCTGTGTATTCGTTACATAATGAAAAAGAGGATGAGCAAGGATAGTGGTTATGATGATAAGATGATGGTTAAAAGGAGGTGGAGAAGAAGAACTGTAATATAATTAATATATTTTTAACTGTCTGATGGGATAGATAGCCCTTTCAACGTCAGGACAGAGAAGTGGGAAGAAGAAAGAGGAAGAAGAGGAGGAGAAGAAGGAATAAAAAGAGGATGAAGATGATGAAACTAAAGATGTGAAGAAGAAGAAGTGGAGGAGAAGGAGAAGGAAAGAAGAAATCTTCAGAAGAGGAGGGTGAGGATCGAGGAATAACTTTCAAGAAGGAAAAGAAAGGGAAGAAAAGGGAGAAGAAGAAGGTAAATAGAAAAGGAGAAAAGGAGAAAAAGAAAGAAGAATCAAATAGAAGATGGAATAATTACTTTTGAAGAAAAGGATTTAAGTAGTGAAAGAGCTGGGTGAACAAGGTGGAAGAGAAGAATATGATATTGATCTAAGTTTACAATACCTGGAAGAAATAAATAGTTTTAGGTCAATAAGTCAAGTTATTTACCATGGATCGTGGTGAATAAAAGCCTTTTAAAACAGGAGGATTGAGTTACGGGACTATTCAACCTACCCAGGTGACCCAGCTACATATTTTGGTTGAAAAGAAAGATTGATTGCCTAGGCCTTCTTTGAATTTGGTATTTATGGATATATGATGAAGTGATCTTTATTCTTTTTTCCCCTTATTTAATTTAGGATATAGAACAAGAAAGATGAGTGGACTAACTGAGGTATCCTGCAATAAGAGCTTTGGTGGCTTGCAGAAAGTGTTTTCTCATGACAGGTAAGGAATTAAAGAATCATGCTCTCTGATGCTCTGGCCTAATGCAAATGAAGTACAGTCAAACCTGCTTTAGTGACCACCTGTCTACAAAGACCACCTGTCAACAAAGGCCACACTTGTTGTTTCCCTTGAAAATGGTTTCTCATTGAATCATGTGCTAAAGGAACATGTCTACAAAGACCACCTATAATTTATAAAGGCCACTTTTTGTGTTTTCCTTGGGTGGTCGCTATAGACAGGTTCGACTGTAATTGTTTCATGTTCATATTAACCCTTTGACTACTAGGAAACAATACACGATACTGTTTTACAATGTACAATTGTAATAACATATTCGTGAACATCCTATTAAATGTGTGATAGGATTTGTATCTAGGTCATGCTTGAAAATGGAAAATATCTTGAGAAATACTGATATGAAATATGGTGTCGTTATCATGGATGTGTAATTGCAGACTGTTCCATTTCCAGTGACTTTTCTATGGTAGACCGATGTATGGATGCATCTAATTTACTTCATAAAGGCGTTACAAAGTTATAAGAACAATTTGTATGATGCTTTTATATTAAAACCTGTTAAGAACGTTAAGAGCCATTAAGAACTTTTCATTGAAATGAGAGCTCATGAGATAAACTTCAGTTTTCATTTTTTCGCTGCCCATCAAACTAACTTAGTTGACTTGAGATGTTATTCGATATATAACAGGTTTAGAGTTGTGACAAGTCTCTTATTGGGAAGTAGTTGCTCCTCTCCGCAAAGGTGGTTTTGTAAAACACTTTATAGCTGACAAGTCGAGCGACAGAGTTGAGATGTCATTGATCTTGTAGTTATGATGGTTTCGTGAAGCGACCCCCTGGTTGTTGACTTGTTTTCTTGTATTATTTATCACAGCTCAGAATGCAAGTGCAAGATGACCTTTTCCGTCTATCTTCCAAGTCAGTCTGAGAGTGGTCCATGCCCCACACTCATCTATCTTTCAGGTAAGCAATTAAGGTAAACTATAAAACCTGAATGATTTGTTTTTAGTCCATTGATACTAAACATCAAGTATAGTATCAAGCTCTTTGTTCTATACAAATTACTGTGAAGGACAAGTCCAAGCTTTTTTTGTCTTCTACATCACAGACCACTGCTGGTCCACCACTGAGCAGGCCATTATGATAAGGTGTTGAAGTTCAGTTTCGATACCCCCCTCCCATACCCCAAAACCAGGGCCCATTTCACAATTTTTTTGTTGTTATAAGCTAGTGAAATCCTTGTTTCTGATTTGCTATCAGCAGATTTGTCACAGATTTTTGTCATTTGTCATTGAAAAAATGCTTTGTGAAATGGGTCCCTGCTCTTTTTTTTCACATGCTGGTAATAATAGCACTCTGTTGTTGAGTTCTAATGTTGCTATGGATCACTTGAAATACCACCCATCTCCTTCATTTTGCTTTATTTACCTACCGGTATCTATTTCATAATTGCCATTCTAATGCCAATTAGAATTACCCCCAGCGGTAGCTTCAAAATGTCTTTATACCTTTGTTGCCTGCCTCGGCAATGGCCAGGAACCTCTCACCCAATCGGATCCTCTATATATGACCATGCCTACGCGATTCTTCCTCTTTTTGTCTGCTGACTTGAATATCACATTTCCCCTCCAAGTCAGGTCCGAAAAATGATGTAATTTCCTTTTATATTATCCAAATTTTCTTGCAGTTGTTGTTCTTTTCTACTCCAATAGGAGGTTAAGATTTGGTGGATTACTTTTCTGTTTTTTCGATTATCGTTTATTGGAATTATTGCCTTGCTAATTCTGCCACAGATCATGCCTTCTTCTCGCGCTTCACCAACCGCGGCGCTCAGAGGCAGACAGTGCTCAGCACTCTCCCCAGGAGCAAGAGGGCTAACACCTCTGAGGCTTCCACTGCCACTCGGACTCCTCCCTCCCCAAAAAGGGAAATAAGATGGAGAAAAGCCTAAGATTAGTACTAGTGTTCCTTCTCAAAATCCATCTAGAGACCACCTGCTATGAATATCACCTGTGTAGTCTCCCTTGAGTGACCTTTATGTACAGGTTTCCTTACATCTTTGATTTCAATCTGTATAGGGTTGACCTGTACCGATCAGAATGTGACGAACAAAGGAGGATTCCAGCGTGTTGCTGCTCAGTATGGCATGGTAGTTGTCTGCCCAGATACAAGCCCACGTGGATGCAGCATCGAGGGAGAAGATGAGTCCTATGACTTTGGTTCCGGGGCGGGGTTTTATCTCGATGCCACCGAAGAGAAATGGAAGACAAACTACAGGATGTCTTCTTACGTCACCAAAGAGGTATCATGTTTTCTTCATCTGTTATTTCATTCCAGGGGGGTGTTTCACAAAGATCCTAAGTTCAACATATCTCTAAGTTGGAATTCATAATTATGGACATATTTTGTAAAAGATATTTTAAAAGGCGTAAAATGTTGATTCAAATCATTCTGATTTTTGTTTATTATCTAGGATATTTCATGTTCTTGATGTGGAATTTATGAAAAGTCAAAAATACTTGATTTTCTGCTTTTGAATATATTTCATTTCTAGGCTACAAATGGCTCTCCATAATTTGTAAGTCCAACTAAGAGTTACCGTAAGTTCTACTTAGGATCTTTGTGAAACACCCCCCAGATGCATTATATTCTTAAGTTTTGTTCTGTTATCTCATTATTGTGCTCTTTTGGGAACCAACCTAGGCGCCTTTGTTAGGAGATGAACTGATTACATTTTTGTGTTTGACATTCTTATGTAACTTGATGCAAGATCATAGATATGAGCAATGTATAATCAGATTTATCTCATACACTGGCCAATGTCCAGCAGTACTTACAATCAGAAGCTAAAAGTGTGAGTGTGTTTGTGTGTGTGTGTGTGTGTGTGTGTGTGTGTGGGGGGGGGGGGGGGGGGGGGGGGGGGGGGGGGGGGGAGGAGGGGGGTTGAGGCATACCAGGCTCTAAATTGATTTAGTTTGATTTTATCACATATTGCTATTTTTCTTTGAAGCTTTCATGAGAAATGCAGTGAAAAAAAAAAAGATTCCTTTTTTTGTATGAAGCAAGATTTTCTTACCTTTTCTCTTTTCTCTTTGTTACTTTGTTCCCCCCATTTCTCTCTGGCTTTCTTCCCTCTTTCTACTTCTCTCTTTTCCTTTTCTTTCTCTATTTCTCATTTTGTTTCAATCTCACCCTATCTCTCACCACACACTCTCTCTCTCTTTCTTCTCTTTCTCTCTCTCTCTCTCTCTCTCTCTCTCTCTCTCACGCTATCTCTCTCTTTCTCTCCTTCTCTTTCCTTTCTCCCTCCTCTCTCTCCCTCTACACTTCTGCCACTCTTGTGGAACTCACTAACTTCCTCTATATGTGAGATTGATAGTCTAGAATGCTTTAAGTCAAAACTTACCTACCGTAATTCACCTAATGTGAAGATACTTATTTTATTTCATAAGCCTGCACATTTGAAGAAGCAACATTCAAACAGAAATATGGAGCAATAAAAATGTTGTGATTCTTCATTTATACCTTCTGCTCTTTTCTTCCCCATCTATTTTTCTTCTCTTGGACACAGTTGTTTGATCTCATAGTGAACTCTTTCCCTGTCAATCCTGACAAGGTTGCAATTACTGGGCACAGGTAAACTACTTTTATTTTTTTTCTTTCTTCCTTTTTTAACTTTCGGAAGTCAAACTACTTATATTATGATGAGAGACTTTGCTATTTTTGTCTCGCCTGGGTAGCAAAAAGCGAGACATAGGCGCCGCTTTTCCTGTGGGCTGCGGCGACGGTGGTGACGGCGTCAACATCAAAAACTTAACCTAATGTTTATTTTTTTAATTTTTGATATAACTTTGAAAGTATAATTTCTTAGTGAATGAAACTTGGACTATAGGGTAATCAAGTATTCCCAATCATGTGAGTAGAATTCAGGTCACTAAGTTAAGGTCAAAGGTCATTTTAGGTCAACAAACTAAGACTTTTTTGTGGCATCAACATCAAGATTTTGAATTTTTAGCATACGTTCAAAGTGTTTTGTTCAAATTCCATGAAATTTGTACCCAAGGGTTATCAAGTATCACAAATCATATGACACAAATTGCAGGTTACAAGGTCAAAGGTCATTTTAAGTCAGTAGACTTGGATTATGTTTTCACAACTTCATATGAGAATAAATGAATCAATTTTTGTTATTTGTTCATGAATCTTAGTCAATATTCACTTCAAAATGCTGATTGTATTCAAAGGATTTCATTTTTCGAGGCCTGCTAATGGGCCACCTGCTTATAAATAAGGTTCCAACCTCAATTTTTTATCTTATCTAATTACGTAATGCAGGCGAGACTGCCGAGAGCGTTTCCCTTGTTGTTCAGTTTGAATGCTATTATCATTGCTGCCAACCATTCCTATTTGGGGGCCCTCAAACTAAATGTTATGAATGAAGTTGAACTGTAGATTCCCCTCCTTTGTCCGAAAACAGAAGTGTACAAGATAGTAATAATTGTAATAATAATAATAGTGCGTTCTTGTATTGCCCTCATGCATGTCAGGTATGATGACACTCTAGACTAGCTGTGCTCCTAATCTTTCCCAAAGAAATTCTAATTTTTTATTTGAAAGGTTGGTAGGTATAAATTATATGAATAATAAATGGACGTTGACTGTTAACCACAGGAAGAGAAATCATCTAAATACAGGTTTTCCTTCTTTTTGTAGATATATCTCATGTTTACTAAGTCTATGATCACATTGTGATTGCTATATTAATCACACTGTTTGAAGGTATGTAAATAAAATCAGAACAATGACGGTTGGAGAAGCATAATACTATTAAGTTTGAGAGGATCTGTATGTACATGTACTGTCTAAGGTTTGATCTTGTAGTATTTATACTCTAGTATGATTGACCAGTCATTATAATTCCTCTCTATGTCTGTAGCATGGGAGGACACGGTGCCCTGACCCTTGGTCTCAAGAACCCACATCTGTTCAAGGTAAACATTCCTTTCCTATACAGTATCCAATATGGTTTTTCTATATCTGAAAAGCTTGTTGGAAATGTTTAACCTTTGTGAGGTTTGAGATTACGTTAAAGCCCCTCTTAAAGAGTTGGAGCTCCAAAAATTTGATGGCAACATTTCGCTAAAAATTGTATCATAATCTGAACGAGGATGTAATTTAAGACACATTTCTGCAAGGATTTTCCAGCAAAATATGTTTGAAGTCGAAAATATTGATTAAAGAATTCAAAATTTAGTTTTTCTGCGTACAACAGAAAACCCAAATTATGTATTTTTTTATCAATATTTGTTTTTCGATTGGCTTTAAGCAAAAGAAGTAGAGGTAGAATTACAAGATATCATCCTTGTATCAAATACATTTGGTTTATTACTTTAAAATTTCTACTGAAAGATACACAATATGCTTTAAGGTGTATCAATTACCATTTTCAATAATTAATTTACTATATTAATCCGGAATTGCGGATGACATCTCTGACCTTGTGCTCAGATTTATAGTCAACATCGTTAAGGAAGATAACATTTAAATGCAGTACAAAAATGTTGATTAATTTACTGTATATAATGTTAGAAATACCAAGTTTCTGAATTTTGATATAACATACATGTTCAGTGACTTTCTATATCTTTGTCACATTCATTCATTATTATAATCAGAATGTCTGATTTTTGCTCTCATACTCTAGTCTGTAATCAGTCAACTGTCCATGGGAACCGAAGGCCTTTACTTTCTGTATAGTAGTGATATGAATGACAATGAAATATTCATGTTATTAATGATGTCTTGATCTCTTTCTCTAGTCCATATCAGCCTTTGCTCCTATCTGTAATCCTATCAGCTGTCCCTGGGGACAGAAAGCCTTCAAGGGATATCTAGGACCTGATGAGAATACATGGAAGGTATGTTTGCTTGTTTTTTAATACCTGACTGCTTTGAATGCAGGAGTATGCTTGTAAATAAACAACCAGGTGATTAACAGCTTTAAGTCCTCCCGACGGACTTGGTAATGAGGATTACTGCCTTACGTAAGGGCACTAGCTCATCGACTTGGTTTCGAACCTGGGACCTACAGGTTACAAGACCACTGAGCCATCACAACTCCTGGTTCCATTCACAATAATTTTGTATATTTTCGGATTCAACTGAGCATGAAAATATTCAGTCTTAAAATGGGCAGTAGATAGCACTCACATAATGGTGTACTACTCTGAATAAATTCTTATTTTTATGAAAATGTTACTCTGTAATACATGTACATTAGGTGGCACATACTCATTATATATATACAAGCAATATTATGTGCAATGTTGGTTGGGTATAGGTATAAAACTAAGAACCACAATTCAATATTGATATCTCTTTATTCAAAAGAGAATTCAATGGCATACACTTCAATCTGACAGGGACATTAATTTTTTGACTTGTGTGTTTTCTGAGACGTGTTGGGCCATAGGAACATGGTGTGTACTATCAGTATCTGGTAGTTTAAAAGATAAAGACCAGTTATGGTCAAGCGATTGCATTGTGAAAGAAACGTGGAATCGATCAGAAAAGGTTGATCATCTAGCATATGCATGTAAGTATTGGTGTGTACTGCAAGGTTCTGGAATCATCAAAATGATAAGAAATTTGGACCAGTCTTCGTAAAGTTACAAGTACTGTACACAGAAAGATATACATGTATATGGGACTACGCACTCGTGCGTGACACGTGCATTATATCTATCATGTCCAAATAGATATAATAATTTACCAAATTTATCAATTAGTAGGCGGTTTCTCGGCAAAATTGTATTATCACGTATTAGTCAGAACATATTCTTTCACATGATTGGTAATAAGAGCTTCCATTTCATTTTTTGAGAGGGGGGCGTTTCCAAAACTGGTCTATACCTTTAATGTTTCTTTCCTGCAGGAATAGTAATCTTGTATTGTTCTCACGCTTGTTTAGGAATACGATGCATGTGAGCTTGTTAGTTGCTATGATGGGCCACCAAGAGAGATCCTCATTGACCAAGGAAAAGGGGATAATTTCTACAACCAAAAGCAACTTCTTCCCGAGAACTTTGTAACGTCTTGCCAAGTCAGCAGGACTGGATGTATCATGAATCTACGTGAGGTGAGTCCATCCCAATTAAGTATTTACATCACATGTACATTATTTCAGGTACATTTTACTCCTATCCCTCTTACAGGCCCAATCAATATTTTATTTACCTGTCATTTTTTTCTTTTCAATTTCATATTATCTGGGTGATTTGTCATTTTGTTTGAGGGCATTTGGTACATGCCTTTAATATTTCATCTACCGGTACAATTAATTTTCAAGGTTGCACTAAAGATAAGTTTACAGTAAGCGTTAGGTTTATGTATAGAGGTGGATTCATGCTTAAAGTTTTGGATTTGACCAGTGCCAGAGGTGGACTGGGGACCAAATGTAACCAGAGAAGAATCTTTACAGTATGAACACATTAACAATTTTGGGTCAGAGGAAATATTCAATTTGTCCCTGAACAATCGTTTCAAAGTACTTGTACAAATGCAGATAGTGCAACGTCCGATACTATGCTAGAGATTACTCATTAAATCCATTTGGTATATACATGTTCATGTATTTGTAATTTGTTTTTAATGAAAATGGTAAAAGTCTCTACAAGAGATTGATTGCTGTGTTGATTTTATAAATGTGTGGGCAAGTCTATTTTGTTCCACACATCGCCAACAACATTGAATTTTTAAAGTATATCTGACTATTGTTTTAATTTAATAGCCATAGAAGACCATAGATCAGACCAAATCTGAAGTAAACTGACAGATTTGGGAAGTCCACTACATATTTGGTAACATAATGGGAAACCAAATGAACTTGCCTTTCTATCTCAATCTCTTTTATTGTTGTTCATCTCAGGGGTACGATCACAGCTACTATTTCATCTCAACATTCATGGAGGATCATATCAAGTTCCACAGTCAACACCTGTGATGACATCATGACTTGGTTGCCATGGAAACCCATCAATCCTTGAATCCGGAACGTGAGAGAGCTTAGGGATATTTAGAACAGTTGTAATTAACTGCACGTTTGATTTTCAGATATTTTCTCAAGAGTTAAACTCAATCATATCATGGAATTTTGATTGTAAAAATGAGTACAAGTCTTATCTATCTGTTAGTGTGGCGACTCAATATAGAATGCAATTAAAGTCATTTCATATTCAAAGAAACTTGTTATTAATGATTAAACCAAATATTGATATTAATCTCCTTTTGTAGGCCCTTGCGTGGTTTGATTTGTATGTGGTAATTTTCTGTGCTATCTTTCAAAGAGAAAAAACAAACCGCCAAATAAAGATGCAATGTTAGAACTCCACAATCAATGTGCCTTCCATGCTGCTTCATGTATCTCGTCCTTTCTTTTAGATTATCAATTCATAAAACTGTCAACTTTACTTGTATCTTTTCCTTTCTATTAGGTTATCAATTCATAGAACTGTCATCTTTACATGTACCATATGGTAGAATGTTTTATGTAGAACCATCATTGATACATTTTAGAACAACCATTCTCAATTTCGTTTTCAATTTCAAAAGGGAAGCTTTTAATAACCCTATGAGTGTGTTCCTAGGTAAAGCCTTTTTTTTGGGGGGGGGATGCCATTGGTTCTAAATAAAAGATAACATAACTTCCATGTGCACATCTATTATTTGTGTCAATGAAATTCCATATTTTGTACAAATGACTAATATATGTATCAAGGAATGCATGAATTTGTCTCAGTTGTTGAACACTTGACCTAACTCAAATAAACATTTCTTGATAGTGGTATCAAAACAGCTATCAAATAGTATTACCAAATGCAGTAGAATGAGTCCAAATTTGTATGGATGTTACTGTTAGTTTTTAAACACTGTAAAATCAATCAACTTCTTCACAAGTGAAGTTGTCTTAATTGATCTAGGCTTTGTGTAATGGAAAATGTCACAACGATGTTTCAACTTTTACGTAGTATGTATGATTTGTTGTATAAATTGTAATACCTATGTGTGTAAATCATGCAGTTTATGAATTTTCTAAGAAAATAAAAATCATTGAAAATAGAGACATGGTCAGTTTTGTAATTCATTTTTATTACTCCACAATCAGTTGGTTTTCAGAACACATATTAAAACTTTAGATAACTAAAATGAGTAAAGAGTTGGCTTACATCTACAGGGTATTAGAACAGAAAAATCAGAATGAGAGGCTAGGATAAGAGGAAATCACATGGAGAGAGAGAGAGAGAGAGAGAGAGAGAGAGAGAGAGAGAGAAGAGAGAGAAAGAGAGAGAGAAAGAGAGAGAGAAGAGAGAGAGAGAGAAAAGGAGGTAGAGAAAGGAGAGAGAAAAAAGGAGAAGGAGAGAGAGAAAAGGAGAGGGAGAGAGAAAAGGAGAGGGAGAGAGAGAAAAGGAGAGGGAGAGAAAGAGAGAGAGAGAGAGAGAGAGAGAGAGAGCAAGAGCAAGACTGATAGAAATATTATTGTTCTGACCTTGAATCATAAAAGCTAATGCAGTGGAATCACATAACTTGGTCCTCGGGACCATGGAAATTACCTCAATATATCGGGGTTAAAAAACAAAAGAATATAATTAAAAGAGCTGGGTCAAGCAAAATCCCCTTGTTATAAAGAGATACCTCGTTATATCAGCTCTTTACGAGGTTTCACTACACCTTTCTGCAATCAAACTTATTTTAACGTTGTAAAAATGGTCATCATGATGAAGTTTTCATTACGATTTACAAGCACAGATATTTATTCGTCAAGGTTGGAAATTAATCACCATTTTGTAGCATGGAATTTTCCAGATCATACATTTAACTGGAATGGAATCAATTTTCATCTTGCATTTCATTGTCAATAAATACATACAAGTAATATAAATTAACGCAATTTCAAACAAATGATTACAATATATACAGATAAACAGGCATAGTATATAAATCTTAAGTTATATTGCACTTTGAACAATAACGAACAATTAATTCAAATAATTTCTCATCATCCAACTTGTAGGTAAGTGTTCATATAATGTACAAATTCTCTTGGCCAGGGACATATTAAGGTATAATTAAATTTGAATTTTCTACCAAACAAGAATCTTCAATACGCAGTGGCAACAAGATTTACTAATGGTAATCCTGCTCAAGACTCCAGCCTGAATTATCTTTGGCTGAAGTCTGTGTACATTGTGTCTTATATTAAAACCAAATCATACTCGAGAGATGAGAGTTTGCAAAGGTACCCTGGCCTTTATGTGTTTTTATTTCATTACTCATTTAATAATGGTATAGTTATTCAAAGTATGTTTCACAGCCTAGGCTGAATTGTATAAATGCATATAACAATAATACACCAGCATAATATAGGGAATAAAAGAATGATTCGTGATGTGGCATGGTTAATGTTAATCATAATTAACATGATTAATATAATCCGATAGACTAATCTTCTGTCCAAGGAAAGAAAGAAGAAAAAGCAAAGGTAGAAGTCATAGAGAAGAGAAAGGAATGGGTCAAAATTAGAAGTTAACAAAAGTAAGGAAAAGAACAGGAAAGACTGATGAAGAGAAGGAAGTCTGAATGTAGAGTGCTTTAAACAGACAAATAATAAGTTTGATCCTGTAATTAGACTGACATACATTTATATCATCCATTTCTTGCAGTAAAGTTCTAATAATTCATTTCAAATAATCAGTAAATAATGTTGATTGAGTATACATGTATATACAACATCCGTATATCTACTGATGTAAGGTGCTTATAGTTACACAATGATTGTACAGGTATATGTAGCAGTCAAAGTATGATGGAAGTATTCAATAGTCAATAATCCTAATTGTCATGCGAGTCAATGACATTTCTACTCCTCAAGTCAAACCAATCAAGAGTGCAATCTTAAGGGAGTCATGCGTCAGTTTCCATGTGCAGAAGGCAATGATTCGCTGACACCAGACTTGGTGGAAATACCATTAATGGGAGTACAAATCTGCACACAGCGAACCCGTAGGCCAGTCAAGAATTACCCCCTAATCTCTCGGAGAGCTCAAGTCTTCGGGTGAGGGAAAAGCAAAGCATTACATAAGGTCTAATGGTCATAAAAACTGAAGGCTAACCCTGGTGATTGACAACACCTGTTATTGAGTAAACACCCGAACGATGTCTAATTCCCCATGAGAGCTGACTTCTATGTGTCTTTAAAATGTTGTGATCATCATAATACATTCCCAGTCTAATGTGGAGAGTGCATATCTGGCCCTCAGATCCTGCATATATTCAGTGCACTCAAAACCAACATGTGCTAGAACATACTGCATTAGTTTTCTGTATTAATATGTGCTTTTTAGTACACATACATGTAGAAGTGTTATGGTCTAGTTGAAAGGTCACTGGACTGTGAACCACAAGGTACAGGGTTCAAATCCCTGCCACAGAACTAACATACATGTAATTTGGCAAGATGTAATCTATGTCTGCCATACTCCACCCATGCAGGTATTAAGGTAGTACATACACATGTAAATGGGTTATAACCAGTAGTGATACGTTGGACTGCTGTAATGGCAGCCATGGTAAAGCCACGTTAATGTCACTGGAGTGCCACAAGTTTCAAGTCAGACTATTATCATTATTTAGATACTTTCCACTTTGCAAGATTTTCCATGCCACTTCTCCTCTGCTAATACTATTCCATCAACCCTTATGGATATGATGTCTCTAGCCATGTTCCATCAGGACCAGTGCATATATCTGTGTATCACTCCTTCTTCCCTTACATGTGCAGTGCAAGTTCATAGAACTTCAATTCATTCTACTACCAAATGCTCTGTACTAATCCTGATCATATGAACTTATGTTCATGTCACAAAAGCCAATTTATGTTCCACACAATACCATTAAAGATTGTGGATAAAGTCATTTCAAAGCCAATATTCCCATTTGTTTCCTGCATTGCCAGTGCAACTGTGAACAAACACATGGTTGCATGTATGTTTCTGAAAGGCTACGTAGCCTATTACATCTACTATCATACAAGTCCAGAGAGCACATGCATGAAAGTATCAATAAACCATTTCAAAGTTAAATGTGTGCATGTAAGATATAGGTAATAAGTACAAACCACAAGGTCAGTATTCTATGTCAGTATGGGCACATCATTTCTCCTCTTATTAGCCATTGATAGACAACTAGACGTAGACTTACATCTAAGTCATATTTACTTACATTTGAATAGACATTCTATACAGATGGCACAAAGCCGCACAATACAAATGACCATTATTATTATCATCATTGTTAGTTAGTCAACCACAAGAAATGCAGGTGTGCATACACAGTATTAGAATAGATTGGGGTCAATGAAGACCTATGCTAACCTACAGTGTATATTGTATCTCCCTCATGTCACTGTAAACCACAAAGTTCTTAATTTTCATGACACTAGTATGCTACGCTTTACATTTATTTATCTCATAACATGCGCTGAGTGGAGACAAGTAGGACCTTTGTTGAATGCATCTGAAGTTCATTTACAAAAGGTTTACCATGGCATATCTAAAAGATCCTGAAATGAAGATGGATTAAGAGCATCCTCTACATGCTATGCCGAGCCGAGATCACATGTTGCTGCAAGCACACAGCCCTTCACTCAGTAAAGTCACAGTTAAAATGTCTTTTTTGTAAATCACGCCTGTTGTTGAGTAAGTTTATATTTCAATCATAACATACTGCCTAAAGAAATGGAGCTTCTCCTAATGTATGACTCGAGGAGTGAAATAAATCACTGGGTTCCAAGGCAGGTGGTCATAATGCTATCACAACACAGTCATCTTCTAGATACTCCCTTCACAAAGGGTTCTGATGGTGCAGCTCATGAAAAATTCCACAATTGTCGTAATCTGGCCAAAATGCTTATTCCACCAAATGGCTACAAAAGTGTCTTAACCATTCTATAAGACATGGTTTAAAACATCTTGAAACAAACATCTGTCTTAATACTTCATTTCTGGGATGTTTGATGAGATCGGTTGGTCGTTCTTTACATTCTTGGTTCCGGTGGAAACACACTGTTATCCCCTGCAGGATGTAAGCTTCGTCTGATGTTCAAAACTAGTCAAGGAAATATTATCCAACAGCATTTTGTCTTTTTGACACAAAATCAATTGTGAATACTAGTACTTACATGTATCTAGGACTCCATAAAAGGCTGATCGATAACAACACCAGTGGCGGATCCAGGGGGGGGGGGGGGCACAGGGAGCACGTGCCCCCTCGGCCAAAAAAATATGTTAAAATCAGCCCTAAATCCGCCCAAATATACTGAAAAAAAGGGCGTGCCCCCCCCCCCCCCCCCCCCCCCCCCCCCCCCCGGCCAAAATAAAATTATAATATTTTTTATTTTATTAAAAATTAAAAAAAAATTAAAAAAAAAAAAATATGCCAATGGCTGACCTAAAAAAAATTGACCTTACCCCCCCCCCAACGAAGCAAAATGTCATATTTAAAAATTGCGTGACAAAAAAAATAAAAAATGAATAATAGTGTCCTCTTACCCTTACCCCCCACCCCCCGCCTAAGTCGTCGCAATTTTTTTGGGACTAAAAAAAAAAAAAAAAAAGTTAATAATTAATAATTCATTTTTTGTTGTTGAAACAAATAATAAACAAAAGCATTAGTCACTGCATTCTAGTAAAGTGAACAAGCCTTAAAACACATTTTCAGTCTCAAGTAATTGATATGTAAAGGATACACTGCAATGCTCAATTGGTCCAGCTATCATGAAAAGGAATAGAAAAACATATTTTACATCTACTTTGCAACAGAATACATATTTATTTCCTCAAATTACATAGAGTTACATGTACAATTAAACAGATGACATTATGGTAGTTTCTTTTGCTGGTTAAAATTCATTCTCATAATTTGTTATTATCTCTATATTTTCTCAATTCATCAATCAAATCAAAAATTCTAGTGAGATTGGACATAACCTAACCCAACAGAAAAAATCTTACTTCTAAATATTTAACTATTAAAAGGAAGATACATGTACTATAATGGGGAATGTTTTTGATAAACGAATTTATAAAATATACTTAGAACCGTCAACCAAATACATCTCAATAAAAATGCTCTTTCAGGCAGTAACAGAAACTTTGCTTTTGATTTATAGCTAGTGAAAGGGAAATGTAATGACTCATGTTTGTAGCATAAATGAGATACTCACATTAGATAATAAGTGATCCATATTTTGATTGGCCAATGTTATAGCTTCCTTGCTCCCAACTCTGTAAGAAAAGAACAAATAATGGTAAATACTTGTTTATCTACAAAGCAGCAACTTACAAGAAGTATTTTGTGACAATATAACTTATAGACAAATGAAAGGCTAATGGCTGGATGGCTGGATGAATCTATGGGGATGGGAATCAAAGGAGGAAAACTGATACTTCTTGACAATGTGTAAAGATATCTGGTAGTGAGGATGTATGTCTGATAAACACTAGGATAGATTTATCTTTTTCAGCAAAATAGTACCGGTACATGCCTTAAAAAGAGAAGGAAGAAATAGTCCCTTAAAAAAAGCATGTTAGCACAAGGACAAGAAATGAGATGATAGTGAAGACCCCTTTGCCTGGAGCTGTATCCATCTCAAAGCAAGTCTAGCAAGTGAAGACCCCTTTGCCTGGAACTCTATCCATCTCAAAGCAAAGTCTAGCAAGTGAATACCCCTTTGACTGGAGCTGTATCCATCTTAAAGCAAAGTCTAGCAAGTGAACACCCCTTTGCCTGGAGCTGTATCCATCTCAAAGCAAAGTCTAGCAAGTGAATACCCCTTTGACTGGAGTTGTATCCATCTTAAAGCAAGTCTAGCAAATGAATAGAAAGGGTAGTGGGGTGGAGGGTAGGGGCTAGGAAATAAGTGGGAGTGCCTATTTACCACTGTGCATGGAGCTGGCCCTCAAATCAGAATGAAGTCTTACAACCTTGGAGGAACACGGGGGTAGGGATGTGAGCGATGGGGACGGGAGGGGCATGAGGGTAGGGAGGGGAGGGACATGGGTGTAGTGAGGGGAGGAGCAAGGAAACAAGTGGGAGTGTCTATTTACCACTGTGCATGGAGCTGGCCCTCATCTCAGAGCGAAGTCTTACAACCTTGGAGGCGCATGGGGGTAAAGAGGAGAGGGGTAGGGACGGGAGAAGAGGGTATGGAGGGGTGGGGAGTGAGGGAAGGGAGGGGAGGGGCATTGAAATTAATGGGATAAAGAGGGAGGGGGCAAGGATACTTACCCCTGTGCTTGGAGCTGGTCATCCATCTCAAAATGAAGTCTTGCAAGCTTTTCTTGAAGATCTCTAACATTACTCATCTTCTCATAGGAACAGTTCTCATCTGCATCATTAAAAATAAGAATTGGTACCGTATCATGTTAAAAATTATATGTAATTACTTCAGGTATGGAGTATGGGTACCACTTAACCCCCCCCCCCCAAAAAAAAAAATATATATAAAAAAAAAAAAAAATAAATAGATGGATCTTTGACTGCGTGCAGTCGCAAACATGTATAATGCCTCCGCCATAGAGCAATTTACAAACCAAAACAGAACTAATTCATAAAATTCAAGTTTGATTGTAATCCATGAACATGTTCTCAAAATATCGTGATTACAAGCTATTTTTCATACACACTGTACATGACTCTGCAAGATACATACATGTACATGTCCTCCACTAATCGCTCTATCCCCGAAAATACACCCGTTGTAGGGTAAGAATGAAAGGGCTGAGTGTCTCCCCTTTAGCAAACAGCCCAGGCAGTGGACTAGTCATATGTCTGCCTAAAATTACAGGACAAAATGAGGCAGAAAGACATTGTATACATGTACATGTAACAATTACAACATAGACTATTAAAATGTAATTATGAAACTTTCACTAATTTTACAAGCGGTTCAGATTCGGAAACGTTTCATGCCACAAAATAAATCTATCATAAATGACACAACACTAGGTCTCTGAAAATCGCTTCAACTTGTAGTTGCCTAACTTTCTGTATTAGGATACACTACAGCCACTAACCGAATGCTTGTAGCTTGCCAGAGTTGAACTCTTCTAGGAGGTTGAGAAGACCATTCTGCATGTGTCTTATATCTGAGGCATTGGTGATGAAACTATGCTCCTTGCATCCCGTCTCCATGGCACTGTCAACGACTGTCTTATGCTTAGACTTCTCCTGTAACACATCAACAAAACAAGAATGAAGAATGAAGCAAGAGGTTCTTTTTATGGAGAATGATACTGGTACATGCAAGATGAGGTGATAGTGATGGAGATTAAAGGAAGGAAAAGTACCCCCAAAATAACCATCGTACATTATCATATTGAAATATACAGGAGTGGAGACTGATTATAACTTTTAAGAAAAGAAATGGTTTCAGTAAAGATGTAGGGTCTAGCATCTAACCCTGCTTAAGATTACATTACATTACGGCTAGAGTAAAGTGTAGCTGATCCTCAGCAGAATCCTCAGCAGAAATGGACAGCCCTAATACAACTTCAATCAGGTCAAAGAACAATAAAAATGACAACGGCGATGATAAATTTTAATACTAAATTTCTTTATGCATTTTAGAATAATCACTGCCAAAGTGATGGAGGTGCTACTTGGTGCTTTATGAATACCTTTTGTTTGCCCTCTTGAAAAGAATACTTCTACCTGTATATCATAGAATATACCACTTTTGGATAACTGAATAATGATTACATAACTTTCATGAAAAGTATCCAGCAGTCGTCTCAATTTTTTTGTTGTAAAAATGACCTTATTCTGCTGAATTGTATCTGCAAAGTTGCTTAGTATAACCTACCTGTGTTTTGTTCTTGGATGTCCTACTAGGGGCATTTCCTGTTGTTTGTTTGCTATGTTTAGAAGGTTGATGTCCTAAGCTATGACTACTACGGGCGTACTGAGGTCCCATCCACGCCACACCGCTATGACTACCGGCTCCTCGGAAATCTCTCCCCATTCCAGCTGGATACCCTGCACAAAAGACACACAGACATAACTCTTTATGAACACTACTCAAGGGAGACAAGCCTGACAAGGAAAGTGGTCATCACGACTTGTATGTATTTTCTTCTCAATTTCAGTAATGGTAGAAGAAAAAAAAAATCAGTTTATACGACTGCAAAGTTTCTTTTAGTCAATAAACCATACTGACAGTTTTGTCATCCATGTCCAAACTTGAGTTACATGTGAGCCTTTTAAGAAACAATGCATATGTCTCCTAACTGTTAACCTTAAAGGTCCAACTTTTAGCTAATACCTCACAAATTTTCTTGCCAATATATTAATTTCTCAATTACTATGACAAATTCAATACCTACCGGAGATGAGATCTGACCAAGGCTATGTCTGCTTTTTTTTAGAGTAATTTGTTTTTGAGTTTGGATTTCCCTTTCTATATGAATAGTGTACTACCGGTACTTTCTTACCTACGGGTGAAGCGATCTGACCGAGGCTATGTCCACGTATGTGTCTGGATTTGACCCCTGCCTGAGAGGTCAGCGATGATGATACAAGATGTGGTGCTACCAATGAAGCAGGTCTGTGAATCTTAGTGACCTCTGAACCTGTCTGATGAAGCGTCTTGGGGCTCCCATGTATCTGACTGATTCTATTGGACGCCATTATGAATATCAAGAAGTCTGAAAAGATGAAGTGTGAATATGACAAGCTACAAAGATCTTAAAAATACACATAAAAAGTACATTTTCAAGATACATGTAGGTAAATTTGCATTATAGTCTATACCTCTCTTAAGAAATCTAGCCATCTGATTGGTCGAAATTGCAGTCGTGATATTGGATATTCCCGCAAAGAGATTAACACATAGTCAATACAATAGTTCATGACTGATTCCCGTTGCCACGGGTAACAGGCCGCATAAATTAATTGTGCTCAGATCCACATTGGCATTGGTTTATGTGTTAAAATCTTCTTTGTAAAAGATTTTATTTAGTCTAGGCCTACTGCTATTTACTATTGTCACTAAAGTACCGATTTTGAATGAACTCAGTTGAGTTTTGTACAGTGGTGTTTGAAATGTTGAGAATCAATAGAAAAGTTGGCGCTAGTTCAGAAGTCTATCCAAAACTTGACCCGTAACTCCGGCGTGGAGATGTGTGTTAAGTTAGCAACTGTAATCTTAGTTTACGGTCTCTAACTGAACACACGCGCGCGCCCGCACCCCAACGTCGGTACGGTATGCAATTGTATTGTGCTGCAGTTTGCCGTGAATCCAGTGAGAAAGTGCATATTATAAGTCTTCGTTTTTAGGAAAAATACTCTGAAAAAAGATAAGAAAATTGACACGAAACAGGTAACAACTAACAAACCTATCGACTTTTAAATCATGACCTTTATTTGGACATTTGATGAATATTTACTTCATTTTGGGTATGTTTTAGTAGGGTATCTCTACGCCGGAGTTACGGGTCAAAGTTTGAATAGACTTCTGAACTAGTTTTTAATACACAGCCAGGATAGTAATGCAGCTAGGTCTATGTCACTCCAGAACCAGCAATAGTATGAGAGTCAATGCTAATGCGTATTGACCTCTAGCAGGGTGTCTGAACGATTTTTCAATTTTCAATTTGGGATCGTTTTTCACCATTTTTGTTTGATATTTGAATAAAAAATGTAATCAGAATAATACACTTCAAGTCTCACCGATGTTTCTATCAAAAGATACAGCCCCTCCAAAAACGCTGCAATATTCATATCGATTTGGCCAGAATCGACGAAAAAGACGTACACGCAGAGTTATGTTGTTTTGCTAAATTTAGCCGGACAGCTGTATCGCGCAATATGCAAGCGTATGCATAGCGTACGCATGTTATGCGCAACTTGCAGCTTGAGCCACGTTGTCTCCACGACATGTGCCATTGACTAGTATGGCTAGCTGTTCGCACAATAAACCCGGAAGTGAATACACATTATAGTCACTAGGGCGCTTTAGTAACGAGACGGAAAGCACAGGAGACGGAGTGTTTAACCAACTGTGACGGGTCTCGCACTCTTGTTACCGTCATGATATTTAAGCGCTTTCGCTATCTGCTAAAGGCGACGGGTACGCAAAGCCGTATCCAATTCCCGCGCTGAACTGCACGCCTGCTGCCTTTTGGTGCTAGTGCTCTAGGGCCTTGAGGCTTGGCCGGAGCGCCGGGGCAATGGGCTGTAATGCACAGCGTTCAGGCACGTCATGCATAACGATGAAAAAGGTCCCCGAAAGTAGGCCTAAACGGCCAAACCATCAATTTATTGTAGATTGGGGTATAGAATAAGCTACTTATCGAACAGACATTGGAATCACTAGTAGATTCCCTGTTTTTATCTTCAGTAGTCACGGTAGTGCCCTGCATTGTTAGATCTAGATCAAAATTATTTGTCAGCTCCTCTCTCTTATGTCGTGTTTAGGGAACGAACGCTATGTTGGCCGAGTACCGTTCCGAAAATTGACGGGACGGAGAGATTTCAGATTCGCGCAGGCGCAGTTCGTTTTTTTCGCTCGCGTTACCGTCTCCTGTGCGTACCGTCTCGTTACTAAAGCGCCCTACTGGCAATATCGCGGAGACAACATGCACGTTGTCTCCGCGATATTGCCATTGACTATAATATGTATTCACTTCCGGATTTATTGTGCGAACGGCTTTCCATACTTTCATTCACTATAAGCGCAGATGTTATGCGATGTAACCATGGTTTAGATTGAGCCGAGCTCACGCCTCCCTAATTAACTGATCCGAAAAATGTGGAGAAGGGTATTTTCAAACTGTAATCAGTTGTGATCCCTGGGGTCTAGCAAAAAAATAAGCGCATAGATATATTCCTTAGGACTGGGACTACTTATCGATCGGGGCGTCATATCTCAAAAGTGACAAACCTCAGAGTTAGCCAGGACACAATGTTTAAATTGCTGTTTTGACCAAGATATTTTTACAATTTCGAGATGACCCCCCTTTGGAAATATTGGAATTCACCTGCTCTTTCATATGACACCTCATTTATTGAGTATCACCTTCAGGATCACAACAGATAAAGGTTTGAATCTCAAATTGAAAAAAAAAAGAAGACTTTTTTTGCATGGTCGCGCAATGCAAGTAGACTGCATAGGGATGCGTGCAATCTCTATGGGAAGAATTTTAGCACACATCATCGGGTGCGCGATCAGACACCCTACCTCTAGCGCTGTACTAGACCTACGTGCTAATACTTAGGCAGCATTTGCACACATGAATAGTCAATACACTCTTAATACACAAAGGCAGATAATCATGCCGATGTGGCAGATCGGCACGTTTGAGTTACACAGTCAGAAGACTTACAATTTGAATTTTTAAATTATTCTTTCTAACATTGGTAAGTTAATTTTTTTTTTGTATTTTACTGCTATTTAGGTGTCATTAATTGCCCCTAAAGTACTGATTTTGACTGAAATCAATTGATTTTTGTACAGTGGTGCTTGAAATATGTTGAGAATCAATAGCACAGCTTTTAATACACAGCCAGGATAGTAGGAGGCGAGTTGGCTAAGAAGGCGAGTTGGCTCAGTCGGTAAAGCATCTGCCTGTCGAACCAAAGATCCCGGGTTCGACTCCCACCCAGGCGGATGACTGAAGTCTGCGTTGTGTGTTAACGTGCCCCTTCCCTTGTTCATAGACGCAGGTTATGTCAAGTGGAAAACACTCCGTCCCTCGGATAGGACGTTAAATGGAGGCCCCGTGTACAGGAGAGTCACCACCATTGCACGTTAAGAACCCATTGCACTATTCGTCTACGTCTACGTCTATGCTGGTACTCGTCAAAAGCCTTTTCAGCAACTAAACGAGGATATTGTGGTATAGGGGGAAACCCCGGTGTAATGGTCCATCTGCACACCCCAATCAGGCCGAGTATACGGCATCTGCAAGAATCTTCAGTATTGAATGAGGCAGATTATCTTGAAGAAGAAGAAGAAGAAGAATGCAGCTATGTGTTATGTCATTGTGTAGCTGTAGTTAAACTTCAAATCAAACACACATATTTGGTAACATATGGGGCTACAATGTAGCAAACTTGAATACAGTCAGTGTCAGTAGTCTTCATTATTTATAGATCTAGATATATTTCAAGTCTTATGTCGTTTGAATCGTTATCTAACAAGCAACATCATACCTCATGTATCAACCACTCTGTACCTTATCGAAAGGCTAACGATGCAATAAGACGCGTCAATCTGCAACTTTCATGGGTCTTTCACCACCGCTGCGCCACTCTCTGTAGGGAGCTGAGCTGAATTTGGCGACCGCTAGTTCGCGACCACTCGCCCCTTGAATCTGGCGACCACAAGTTCAGCGACCAATTACGGTGTCTTCAAAAGGGTAAAAAGAAAAAAGAAAAGATAATTTTTTTCCGCTCATTTTCTTTAGATGCTTCTCGTTAGAAAATGTAATGACTAATGAGTAATGAGTAATAACTTCTGGCTTTTTGGTGGTACATTTCACTTGTCGGAAGAACATGTCTTGACCTTATTGTTTAACTTTAATATCGGCTCTGTGGTCTGAAAATATCGGTAAATCCGGACAATGGCATGATATCCCTTTCAAAATGAGGTGCTTAACTCTCAAGGCGCATTTATCTTTGGCCGAAATTTGTTATTCTTAGCTGATTACATATTCTGAAAGAGGGGATTTCCAGCTTTCTGGTGGTATGGTCACCTGCCGGGGGAAGATGTCTGGACCTTACTGTTTAACTCTAGAGTCGGCTCTGTATTCTGAAAATGTTCGGTCATTTCGCCGAACAGCTTCAAATCCCGAGTACGCAATCCAAAATGAGGTGCCTAACTGTCAAGGCGCCTTTATTTTTGGCCGACATTTTTTATTCTTAGCTGATAACATATTCAAATAGAGGGGATCTCCAGCTTTCTGGTGGTATAGGTCACCTGCCGGGGGAAGATGTCTGGACCTTACTTTTTAACTATTAAATCTGCTCTGTATTCTGAAAATGTTCGGTCATTTCGCACAAAAGCTTTAAATCCCGAGGACGCAATCCAAAATGAGGTGCCTAACTGTCAAGGCGGCTTTATCTTTGGCCGACATTTTTTATTCTTAGCTGATTACATATTCTAAAAGAGTAAATTTCCAGCTTTCTGGTGGTATAGGTCACCTGCCGGGGGAAGATGTCTGGACCTTACTGTTTAACTTTAATATCGGCTCTGTATTCTGAAAATGTTCGGTTTTTCCGAACACTAGCGTCATATCCCGTTAAAATAGCATTCCAAAATAAGATGCCCAAATGTCAGGACGCCTGAATCTTTGGCCGACATTTTTTATTCTTAGCTGATTACATATTCTAAAAGAGTAAATTTCCAGCGTTCTGGTGGTATAGGTCACCTGCCGGGGGAAGATGTCTGGACCTTACTGTTTAACTTTAATATTGGCTCTGTATTCTGAAAATGTTCGGTTTTTCCGAACAATAGCTTCAAATCCCGTTTAAGCAATCCAAAATGAGGTGCCTAACTGTCAAGGCGCCTTTATCTTTGGCCAACATTTTTTATTCTTAGCTGATTACATATTCTAAAAGAGTAAATTTCCAGCTTTCTGGTGGTATAGGTCACCTGCCGGGGGAAGATGTCTGGACCTTACTGTTTAACTTTAATATTGGCTCTGTATTCTGAAAATGTTCGGTTTTTCCGAACAATAGCGTCATATCCCGTTAAAATAGCATTCCAAAATAAGATGCCCAAATGTCAGGACGCCTGAATCTTTGGCCGACATTTTTTATTCTTAGCTGATTACATATTCTAAAAGAGTAAATTTCCAGCGTTCTGGTGGTATAGGTCACCTGCCGGGGGAAGATGTCTGGACCTTACTGTTTAACTTTAATATTGGCTCTGTATTCTGAAAATGTTCGGTTTTTCCGAACAATAGCTTCAAATCCCGTTCAAGCAATCCAAAATGAGGTAAAGAACAAGTTGGTAGAAATATTTTTCCTTAAATTATGCAAAATGCTAACATTTTGCATTTTACAGAAAAATATTACATATTTGTCTCTACACTCATTATGAATTGCTTGAACGGGATATGAATCTATTGTGCGGAATGTTCGAACATTTTCAGATGACAGAGCCGGTATTAGAGTTAAACAGTAAGGTCCAGACATCTTCCCCCGGCAAGTGACCTATACCACCAGAAAGCACGAAATCCCCCTCTTTTATAATATTTAAACAGCTAAGAATAAAAAATGTCAGCCAAAGATTTAGGCACCTTGACAGTGAGGCATCTCATATTAAATTTGCTTGAGCTGTAAAAGGGTACATGAGCATTTGTCTACATCAATAACCTCCTTCTTGTTTTTTTTTTAAAGGTCTGAAAATCATAATATTTACTAACATGACTCTAGTGATTGTAATCACTAAAGTCGATTCGACAACTAACGTTTATCTACATCAATAACCTACTTCTTGTTTTTAAAAAAGGGTCTGAAAATAACGGTCTTTATTTTCCCACAAAAAGACATTTTCAAGCCCTTTCATTTTGAGGGAATTTCTAAATTTATTGAACTTTTTCATTTTTTTGGCCTAAAAATGTAGATGATAACGATTTCGGAACAAAGTTGAAGACATCACTCCCTCATCATAAAAATGTGAGGCATCACAATTACATTACAATACTTATGCAACACGGGTGATATATTTTATAATATTGATGTATAGACAAAGATAGAAATCGTCTGGACTTCCTCTTTAAATCATAATTATCAATATTAAATCAAATTTAAGCTCACAAAACATAAAGAGAGTATATGGGATATAAAGTCGGATGTGAGGTGAGATGTTAGTGGGGAAGAGGAGGAAGGAGAGAGATAGAGAGATATTTTAAAAAAATGATAAAGGAGAGGATATAGAATGTAAATGACCACACCTCCTCTCTCTCTCTCTTTCTCTCTCTCTCTCTCTCTCAGTCTATCTCTCTTTCTCTCTCTCTCTCTCTCCCTCTCTCTCTCTCTCTTGGAATGTGTAGAATAATAGAATTTAAGAGATATAGAGCGGAGGGGCAAAATAGACTGGAAAGGAATGAAAAAGAAAATAAGAAAACGTAAAAGAAGATGGGATGTCTATTATAAGGCCTAAAATACAAACTTGTTGTATTGCCCTTTGCGACCGACCCAAAAATCTGAAAATCTACGGTCGGCATTTAAAAAAAAAAAAATATCCGTTTTTAAGATTTTTATTATTCATATTAATGAATAAAAAAATATGTATTTTGTTTGTTGGGATAAATGTGATATAAATGCATAAAATCAAATCATTCCCAAATTCTCACTCGTCTTCTGCCCTAGTTTCAAAATCCTACTAGCGTAAACATCTCGATCAACACAACATTGCAAACCATGAATTATTATGAGGTGAAAAAGATATGAATGGAATGATGACGCTGAAAGACATGTATTAAAGCATTACAAACTAAGAAATACTTACACTTTTTTTTTTAGGTCCCAAAAAATCGCAACGACTCAGCCAGCCGCTGAAAAAACTGGGGGGGGGGGGGGGGGGGGGGGGGGGGTAAGGTCACCTTTTTAGGTCAGCCATTTGTATATATGTATATATATATATATATATATATACCTATACATATTTTTTTATATTTTATTTTAATTAACAAAATGGGCCACGTCTCTATTTTTCAGTACATTTCGGCGAATTTAGGGCTGATTTTAACATAATTTTGGGCGGCCAGGGGGGCACGTGCCCCCTGTGCCCCCTGGATCTGACCCTGTACTTAAACGGAAGACATTATAATAAAAACTTTCTCATAGGTTTCACGATAACCCACTACAAAATACCGACGGTGTAATGTACACTTGTGTGAAGTTAGCGACCGTAATATCAGCTATATCCTCATTAAAATCATCATTACGGTCGCTAACTTCACGCCCCGGTACACTCCACCGTACCAGTGTCCTTTTCCATCTGATGAGTACCTCTTAGAACTTCCTTTACTGTATACCGGTTTGAGGACACCATAGCGAACAATTCTATTGTTATCATGCGGTCACGGTTCGGTGCACACGAGTGGTCGCTGAGTTATGGTCGCTAGAAGTAGTCCAATGCGACCACTAAAGGCCCGGTCACACAGCCTTTCGCTTCTGTATCGCGGGTAAAATTTCGCGATTTGTTTTTGCCCGCGGTTGCCCGTGGTGGAAAATGTGCAAAATTGGCTTACCCGCGGTTTACTCGTGGTATGCCCGCGGAACAGACGCCGGCGACTGTTCCGCGTCCTTATCGTGGGTGAAGCGCGGCGGTACCGCGGCCTACCACGCTTACACGCGGTACACACGCTAATGCACGTGATAACAACGCGGTACAGACGCGGAACAAACGTGCTATGACCGTGCTCCACCCGCGATTACCCGCTAAAATTTCGCGTCCAATTCCGCGTGTAACCACGTCTTAACCGCGGCCGTAGCACGTCCTAGCACGTTCGTTCCGCGTCTGTACCGCGTCTTTACCGCGTGTGTACCACGTGTACCGCCCGCGATTACCCGCGGTCTAAATTTTTGGGCAGCCCAAAACTTTTTCGCGCGGCCAACCGCGTGTGAATTTCTTACCGCGTGTAACGACGGGTAAAGTACGGCTGTATCGCGTCTTTATCGCGACCTCAAAGCGTCCAACAGCGTCTGCTTCACGGGCAGAAATTTTTGGCCGTGATTCGGCCGCGATACGCCCTTGGAGGGCTGTGTGACCGGGCCTTAAAACCTAGATGGAATATAATATATAGTGCGTACGGTTTACGCACAATAGTCCCATCAGTATAAGATACTGTACAAATACTGCTGTGGCTTTCATCTCGCAACTAGAATAAAGTTACCCTCCTCCCTACTTTTCGTTGACAATCCTTTTTCTTAAGCATTTACACCAGGTGATAGGGGAGATAGTGCATGAGAACCTTATATCAGATGTCCAGCTCTGGAACACTCTTCTTAAAACTTGTCAGATTAATTGCTTTAAAGTTTGGGATTGAATTTCAGAATTTTCAGGAAATGATCACCGCCTTGGTGGTTAGTGGTCGCGGGGTAGGGGGAACTTCACCCCCTCCCTACCTTACGCCGACATTTCTGTTTCTTAGTTATTAACACCAGAATTAGAGGAGATGGTGCACCCCAAGACGAAAATCCAATTGAATCCCCATTGAATGTCCCCATTGAATCCCAATTGGCAATTTGGAGTAAATGGAAAGTGAAACAATGGGTACCCATTGAAACCAATTGGCAATTGGTCCCCATTGAAAACAACTGGCAATTGGTTTTAATG